GACTCTCTTCGGCAAATTGTGTGGTCTCTAACAGCTTTTCTGTGAGCTGTGCAGAAGCGTTACGGGCCAATGCGCCTTTGACGAACTTGTTGACACTGTTACGAACGTTTGGAGGGACATCAACGATCTCAACAAGTTTAGAAACATAACGGCCATATTGGGTAAGTCGTTTAGGCTTATCAGGAGTCTTTCGAAAGTCTATGGTATGCTCCTGAGCCTTTGGAGGCGTTCGTGGTCTCGCTATCTTTGATAATATCATTTCAGGATTCTATGGTACTATCCCTGTCTCTTTGAACGCAGATAGGATAGTAGATTCTTTGAAAGCTCGCTTATGAAACTCTTCGAAAGAAGCGAGGAATTCGGTCTTTGAGAAGTCTTTATCCCCTGTTCGTATAGCAGCGTCAATAGCCTCGCTATGATAGTGCTTCAAGGGCTGAAAGATCTTGACATCTAATGGCTGAGCAAGATGAGTAGTATGCGGAATAAATGCGAAAGGAATAATATTCTCTTGCTAGCAATATTCCACAAAGTCATATTCAAGATGACTATTATATTCATCACATAATAGAAGACGTTTGGCGCCTTTTGTACGTGTCTTGGTGTGCTTATTGAAGTGTCTAGCCTATTCCATCTGAATTTGATCGTTTGAATAGCCACTATCACTTATAATAAGCAAGATTCTTTCATCCAATTGAGGGATAATGAAGTTGTACGTAATTTGCGTACTAGGGAGAATAATAATAGGGAGTACTATAAATCCTGTGGCAGAGATACACTTAATTAACGAGATATGAACTCGATTATCTAGATCTTGTAAATACTGCCTTTCTTTAGGCTGTGTTATAAGGATCCAATAGGCACGTCCACAGCCTGTACGATAGCCTGTCTCATCCATATTGTAGATATCGTCATCGAGAATGCCCCACGTTGAACGAATGCTTCGAATTCGATGAAACCAATTGAGAATAGCTGCAGGATCATGACTGCGTTTGCGCTTGATAGCAAGAGGCTTTTGTTTTTGTTTATGAAGTTCAGAATGGCGTTTAATGAAATTCGTAGGCTAATTAAGGCCCACAGTAGGGGGGGGGGTAGAGGATTCAGTGTGATTCGTGCGCAGGATCGAATTGGCAAAACCTCACAGGAATTTCGGCCTAGGGGCTATTCCAAAGTCCTCCAATAGCTGGATATGCTGTATAAGCGCCTGTTCCTCATCTGGAGCAAGCTTCTTATTATGTCCGCCGGCCTCACTCTTGCTAGGGATCCCATGGAGCCTCCTACGGAGCGCCCATGGAGATACATCGAATTGTCGCGCAATATCAGCTATGGCGCGTTCAGGATTGCTTTGCCACGCGCCTATGGCCTCTTGAATGCCTGCCTCTTTGTCTGAATAGGATAGAGCCATTTTTGGTTGAGTAATAACGCGTTGAAATTGAGGAGTTGATATTTCGAGTGGATTTGCGTAGCGCTTGTGATTTGCGTAGCGCTTGTGGGCACGGCTAGTAGTACCTGGCTGAAGTTTCGTAGCACGCTGCTAAGCAAAACAGGCCTTAAACGAGACAGCTAAGCTTTGAACAGCTAATCGGTCGGTTTGTCCAATCAATATGGACAATGGTCTATGAAGCTTCTAGACACTGATGTGGCGCTGTATCTCAACTAGTCGCTACTAGCGCCGTGCTACGAATATTACTACGTACGTACTACGTAGTATGCCTCCTACCATAGTACACGTACGCCAACACAGCTCTAGTGCGACTAACTAGCATGGTGCTAGTGCCGGAGCTTCAAGATTTGTGCCGACGCGTTTCTTTGGCGCTAAATCAGAAGACGCGTAAATTGACCCAGAAGCACTTCACCCCCCTACGCCTAAGCCCTGGGCACGGTACCTGAGGCAGATAATCAATAAAAAGAGATCTCACGAGGTGACAAAAATGCTCACTAAGCCACCACCTTAGGCCATGTCTTCCTCGCCGCCATCATTACCTTCGTCGTTCGATCCTGCGGTGGAGCTCCACACAGAGCCGAATCTACCCGACCCTCATCTGGCGGAATCAGACTCCAATCCGGAGGACTTGGAAGCCTTACACATTCAAGAGGAGGAGCTCAAAATCGCTAAAAGCAGTGCGGGAGTGGTTATACAGCATAGATCTTGGGAGCTTCTGGGGACCTTGTGCAGCTCAGACGTCTACAATCCAGAAACACCATCGAAACCCACGACTACTCGGAGATCGCTTCCTGCAGATGAACAACGGCTGACTCTACCAGCACCAATGCCTTTCTCCTCTTCGCCTGGTCTATATCCTCAGAGCTCCCCACCACTAGCTGCTGGCCAGAAAAGGAAGCTCTTTCAATCATGGGAGCCAGAAGAACCAAGGAAGAGAAAGACGCTGGGTGGATTTCTTCTTGACGAAGGGGATGAAGGGAGTGTAACAGTGGCAGACCCGAGAAAAGAAGAGGCTGCTACTTTGAACACAGAAACTGTTTCTGTAAGCCCGGCTGTTACAGTATCCAATCAAGACCTTGGAAAGGTGGCTATACGGTCTCGAAGTCCCAGCCTACCTCCGCTGCCAGAATCAGATACGTGGAACCAGTTGACACACACTGTCCCAATCCGAACAAGCTCAGGCAAACTACTCAATGTTACGCTACGACCAAAGTCCAAGCAACTGTCATACGAGCAAACGATTGCCCAACGCTCCACAACAGCTCCAGGTCGAGCAAAGAAGTCCTATTACGGTATCGATATCCATAGATTGATGAACGAGCACAAAAGTCGCGCGGACACCGAAACTGCGTGCCAGGAGGTGGACCAACGAGACTTGCCCTACGCGTCGATAGAGCGTCCTGTCGGAGCTACAAGCCATCACAAGCAAGGCGAATACCAAATGTGGACCGAGAAGTACCGTGCACGAAAATTTACAGATCTTATTGGTGACGAGCGCACTCATAGATCAGTGCTCCGGTGGCTAAAGTCCTGGGATCCTATTGTCTTCCCTAGGAGCACAAAATCCATAGCGAAAAGGAAGCACCCGTTTGGTGTTTCCGATCCTCGAATACTAGATGAAAATGTTCAGCATCGCAAGATCTTACTGCTAACCGGACCACCGGGGCTGGGCAAGACTACGCTGGCCCACGTCTGCGCCAAGCACGCTGGCTACGAGACGCTGGAAATCAATGCGAGTGATGAGAGGAGTCGAGACGTGGTCAAAGGCAGAATAAGAGACGCCGTAGGAACAGAGACCGTCAAGGGGATTGATGTTGTGAAAGGCGACAAGAAGACCAGAAAAGCTGGGAGACCAGTTTGCGTCGTTGTAGACGAGGTAGACGGGGTTGTAGCTGGAGTGAGTGGTGGTGGAGGTGAAGGAGGGTTCATGAAAGCGCTACTCGACTTGATCCAATTGGACCAGAGGAACACACAGTCTGCGGGCGACACGTCTTACGGACCCAAGAAATCGAAGAAAGGCGATAAATTTCGACTTCTAAGGCCAGTCATACTCATTTGTAACGACCTCTACGTGCCAGCTCTCCGCCCTCTCCGGACATCCTCCTGTGCAGAAATCATCCATGTTCGAAATACACCTGTCGAGAAGGCAGTTAACCGGCTCACGAGCATATTTGAGAGAGAAGGAATATCAAGCGATGGAGACGCAATCCGACGACTATGTGAGGCCAGTTGGGGCACAGCAGGTCGTAAGCAAGGACAAAACAACAGTGGTGGCGTCGGCGAGGGCGACATAAGGGGGGTATTGGTGCAATGCGAATGGGTTGCACACAAGCTACGCTCAACGTCTAACCATGCCAAAACACCACGTCTCACCAAATCCTGGATTGAGGAAAATATCCTCAACTCTGACTCCCAATCGTCATGTGGCCGCAGTCGCGGAGGCACCCGGGAGATCCTCGAGCGAGTATTCATCGAAGGCGCCGGCCTCCCCAATCTCCCTACCAAATCATCAGCCGAGGATGCCAAAGTATACGCCCAGTCAAACACAGCGCCCATTGGGATTTCAGAACTTCGCAAGCGCGCCGCAGTAGCTTCCATCCGTGAAATGGTCGACACGCTAGGCGACCATGACCGACTCACAACCGACTGCTTCACAATCTACCCAACCGAGTCCTACCAGGACGACCCCTACCTGACTAAACCAATCGCAGCGTACGACTGGCTGCACTTCCACGACATGCTCTCGAGCCGCGTCTTCAACGGTCAGGAATGGGAGTTGGATCCCTATCTCAGCCAGAGCGTGTGTGCCTTTCACCACCTGTTCGCAGCTGTGAACAATGAGAGACAACGTGGTTGGAACGCCGACCACAGCGCTTCAATTGACAAAGACGCAGAAGATCAATCTCATCCTTTTTCAGGCCCGAGAGCGGACTTTGCGGCGTACGAGGCTGAAAAGGCGAATCGAGCTATTATCACAGAGTTTCAGTCCAGCTTCTCAGCTCCCCTGCTCAGGCTATACAGATCCACAGATGCGATTGCGGCGGAGTTGATACCCAACGTGACGAGAATGCTTGCGCCGGAGGTGAAGCCTGTGATTGTGGGTGGGAGTGGCGGGCAGAGCAGCGTTGCCAGTGTAAGGAAGGAGAGCGAGAAGACGTGTGTCAAGATCGCAAGTCGGGTGATGAGTGGATTGAACGTCGCGTTCGAAAGAGTTCGAATCGAGGTCGAGGGTGGTGGGGCGCATAGTCATGCTGGGTTTGCGCTGAGAATGGAACCGTAAGTCTAGCATCACCGCATCCTTGAACCCTTACCTGCTTCATTGTGTTTGTGCTAACGTGCATTTCTTCGCCAGACCCCTCGATTCGCTAGCAAGGTTCGAGTCCACCAAAACCACAAGCAGCGGCGGTCCCCCTGCACCAGTCCGCTACGCTGTACGCCAGGTCCTGGACCAGGAACACCGCAGAGACATTCAGCGGATTCGCTCCGAGAACCGCTTCGCGCGTGCTACTGGCCAGAACAGACTTGACGCTCCACATACAGGGGACGACGACGACAACAAAGAAAACGCAACTGACACCAGCGTCAAGAAAAACGTCACCGCAACAGCGGGCAAGCGGGACTTCTTCGGCAGGATCATCAACGAAGCGCGACCGGGTTCGGCTGGACGGGGAATGGAGAGCGCGGCGAGTAAAGTTGTCGCGAAAGCGGAGGAGAGGGTGTGGGTTAGCTTTCATGAAGGGTTTTCGAACGCGGTGAGGAAGCCGATCACATTGAGGGAGTTTTTGGATAGTTTTTGAGGATGGGAGGGTGTTTTGCTCTTGCGCGAGACGGGAGAGGAATGAGTAGAACGGAAGGGCATTGGTGAGGGACAATACCGGTTGGGAGAGGGTGTAAAGGTGCAGACATCGTAGCAAAGGTGCACTGGAATACAGGAATGGAAAGGTTGGTGATGCGATATTTGAAGTCCTAGTTTGGGTGTCAAGCGGATGGAGGACTACACGTCTGGTCTCTGACTATCTATATGACAGTAGGTCAGCTTCACGAGCAAGCGTGCCTCGAGTATCGGATACATCTAACTACATAGCGACTAAGTTAGCACAATTTCAGCCAGCTTGATCAATGCGCCAAGACTGACCGCCGAGCAGAGACAGTGTGTCCTGGTGAACTGCGGTCTCTTGCGCTCCATCGACCTTCTAGGCTAAGAGGTGGTATGGCAGTCTACTCGAACCATGCCACCAACGGCCCATGCCACCCGAAGCTATGGTTCTGGTTGAGGAAACCGTACATGCTGTTCGACGAGGCAGGATCTGGTGGCATAGCTAGACAATCCGAGCCTCTTTCGGAAACGCGCGTCCCTATCTCAGCCATCAGGTTCAAGCAGCATATTGGGAATATTCAAGAACCGCGGAATGGGGCCGGAGGCGCAGGGCGTCGTTGGACATCGTCCAGATAATCTCGTAAAGAGTATGGCATAATGACGTGATGTACCGAAGAAGCTATGCATGCACTTCCTACGGTGCACGATATCGTAGATGGTTTTGGTAACGGTCGTGCCGAGTCTGACACTCGAGCTCAGCTAGAGGTTAATTCAGCCACACGTCGTTCGATCTCGGGAACAGCTCTGAGCTGCATGTCGAGCTCCTCCTTCTCATCCTCGAGTTCCAATCGCCTCTCTGCATTAAGGTGGGTGAAAATGTATCCACCTTGTCCATCGAATTGCAGAATGCGACTGTGGTATTTCCATAGACTCCTTCTGTGACTGACAGTCATGAGCGTAGTTCCTAAGCTCTTCGCGGTATCGTACATCTTCTTTTCGACTTCCAAAGTAACGCTGCTCGTGCATTCGTCAAGAATGGCATATTTCGGTTTATGGTAGAATAGTCGGGCCATGGCAATGCGCTGCTGTAAACCCCCTGAAAAAACATCACGCCATTCCTCAACCGCATCCCAGCCTCCTTGACGATCGACAATGGATTCAATCTCCAGAATCTTGAGGATCTGAAGGAGATCATTCTCGGCAGCCTTTTTTGCACGGAACTCGTAGAGCGAATCGGGGTAGATGATCTGATCGCGCAGAGTCCCACGTGAGAGATATGGACGCTGGGGAATGTAAAAGATGTCTTCGAAGCTAGGCTTCTTGACTAAGCCCCCATAAACTGGCCAGAGACCACCGAGTATGCGGAAGAGCGAAGACTTCCCGCACCCGTTCGGACCGACGATGAGAAGATGGTCGCCAGGTTGAATAGAGAAGGTCAGCTTCTTCACGAGAACGTCTCCGTTGGGCGACACAATAGGCACTTCAGTAAACTCGATACTTTCACTTTCGATAATCTCGCCACGCCCAGTCAGAACGGCTGCGTTCTCCTCGGTTGAAGCTGACGAGACTAGTTTCTTCTCAAAATGACCAGCAGTCACATCGTCCATAACATCGAGAAGGGCCGACACCCTCGAAGTGTATCCTGCGAGCTCTGTGATCTCCTTATAAGAGAACATGACCCTACCAAAAGCGTCTGATGACGACAAAAGCATTCGACGGTTGGTGACGAAGCTTTCTGTTCTTTCACCCATATTCTTCAATGCCTGCCCGGGCACTTTGAAAAAGACCGGCACACTGCAAAGGACCAAGCCCAATGCACCCCAGAAATATTTGATGACGAAATCCTCCATGAATCCATGGTAGAACCGACGCCGTAAAATGCGATTGACATGTTTGATGAGCGTGAAATAGCCCTTATCGAGAGTGTCCTTCTCCGCCTCCTGACCATGATACAATGCAATTTCCTCGCTGTAATCGATCAATCGAGTATGCTGAAATCTAAATTCGCCTTCCAACCGAGCCTCATCCGCCACGTACTTGCCAAACGGCGGTGTTAATGCTCTCATGACATTCGCCGAGATTTGCACCAGCAAGCTCATCATGAACAAGCCCTCTCCGCCGACGCTCTTTGATAAGGAATAATTGTAGATCACCATGTCAAGGATCGGCTTCGCAAGATTGGAATAGAGCTCTGCTAGGCTGTTCGAGAACCGGGAGATATCAACGGTTATTAGCTGATCTGCATTCTTTATTCGGTCATCTAGGGCGGAAAGAGTGTAGAACGTCATGTGCGAAAGGTATTTCTGGTGCACGTGGTTCGTGAGTCGAGTTCGGTATTGAAGAGAGAGTTTGCATTGGTGGTATTGAAGCTGTAGGACACTTTAGCACACAGGAAGAAATACTGGAGGGATAGCGCTACCATTGAGTTTGTAAAAGTCGCTGGGACTGCCACCATCATCCACCAGACGAGTCCGAGGAGGAACTCGCGGCCTTTGCCTTTGACCAGACTGCTGACGACCTTCCCGTCGAGCTCAGCGACGTACAGACTCAGCATGGTTCGCAGAACGAGAAAGACACTGTGGCTGACGAGCAGCCTCAGTTCTTTGCTCTTGACACCGGGTATAACAATCTTGAGCAATCTGAACAGGCTGCGGAAGAATTCTCGATTTATCTCCACCCTCTTTTTGCGACCGCTGTCCACATCCCCGGTGCTAGGCCGGCTGCGAATCTCGGCTTGACGACGGGTGGCTGCTTTCTGCTCAGAGATCGCATTGTGAATTCGATGGATGAGTGCTAGGAACAGGGTCAAGTACACGGTCCTCGAGATTTTTGTGCGGTGATGCAGGTAGAGATGTGTGAGCTCTGACAGCAGCTGCTTCACAGATCGACCAGGCGGGAGCAACTTCGATTGCGGAACCATCTTGCTTGCGCTCTAGAGTCAGGTTGCATACATATCGAGAACAGAGAAAACTTCAGGTCCCCGCTGCGAGTCACAGGTTGAAAGTCCGTTACGGAGGATGGCGCATGTGAAGGACGCCCGATTTTGGACGTCTTTTGCAAGCCGAGGTCCGCATTCAGCAGGTCAGTCACACACTCAGGTCTTTGAGATTGCAGGGAAAATCGGTTTCTGGATACCTGAAAGGCGGATCATGTCTTGTATTTGGTGGGAAAAGGTTTGTTTGGCACATTTCACATAGATTAAAGGGAAGCGAACATGTAATGCTGTGTTCTATATCCAGTAATACGGCTCTCTGAACCATCATACCATTCATTATCTATCCACTTTTCCCTCCTCGACTAATCTCTTGACCTTGTGAAGTAATATCTTGCTCTGCCTCCCAAGCCTATACCTCCCATCTCTGTCTGGCCTTCTTGCCTTCAGCATAGCCCGCCGCTCTCGGTCCTTCTCCTCCCTCACCATCCGTCTTGCTTCGGCTTCAAGCTGCCTTTGTTCTGCCATCTGTGTCTCCTTCGAATAACTTGATCGCTTGGGTCGTGCCCGACGGCGACGTTCACTGACATCGTCTGTATCGTCCTTGCTATGTCTCGGAGCGTTCACTGATGGAGCGGGGCGGTCTAACATAGCTTGTCGATCGGGATGTAAATCTAGGCTTGCAGGCTGTGCAGACGACGTCTCTGGCTCTTGGTGCCGGTATATATCATTAGAGCCTGACTGCTCTTGTGCCTTGACTTTCGCGTAGGCCTTCTTGATTTTCGCTTTCTGGATCAGGTCATTCTTGATTTTCTGAGCTGCCAGCCGTTAGCATCTGCCTCGGATGCAGATATTAAACTCCAGACGCACTCTTCCGACGATATGTTCCATCGGGTAAATTCGCAGGTCCCACACTGAATCCCTTTCGCTTCTTCCTCGGAGCCTCTTCGTCTCTCATTTCACTATCTGTATGAGGGCGCTTCAGAGCCATGGCGGTCTTAGCCGTCAGCTATAGTGGTTGGCACTCAAGAGTGCAACAGGCTCAATGGAGGGGAATGAGCAATGCACCTAGGGTATTGTTTGGTATGCCTGCTCTGTGCAGTTTGGGTGGTGGTGTGACGAAGTTTGAGTTCTGCACGCTGCACGCGGCAAAACAGTGAGGGGGAAAGTTGGAGGTGGCTTGGGAGTATGACTCGTTCCAACAACCACACTCATTACATCTTCTCCTTTGTCTTCTTCACTCCCTCCTTGCTTCGCTCCGAAGTTGCACTCCTGATCTTGCGAATGCCATGTTTCTCTCCTAGCAACATCCCTCTCCACGAAAATGCCCGCTGCTCTGCCATTTAGTCATCCGCTCTCCCACTACGCTTGAGATTCTACATCGCTTCACCATTATGGCCAACTGTTGTCCACCGATTGTCAGCTTAGCACCTCGCTTCATTGCTGATACTCGACGACCGTTTGTTACTTCCACCCTCTTTGACGCTACTACCGGCGTGCGTGATCTAAGATATCTCAGACTATGGCAATATATTACGAGCCAGACGAGGAATCGATCGAAAATTCCTCACAAGATTCAGGTATGAGAGCCACGAGACAGGGGAATGGCACTGCCGAGGACTATAAACCCGGATCAGCCGGTGCAAACCGGCATACCATCAAGCAATTTCCACAGCCCAAGCATGAAGGGTACCGGTTCGAGGTCAATTCTCGAGCTCAATTGATCGAGAGTATCAAACGTGGAGAAAGTCCGACGTGGGTGCCGAATCCAGCACTAGAAGCTCTTTATGCGAGGTATAATCCTTCAGACCACGAGGATCAATGCCAGAGATCCCCCCAGCGGGACAGAACGTCACTGGATCTAGCTTCAAAGGACGTGCAGGCCGCCGAGAGGCAGGGCATGACAAGCCCTTGTCGTGATTTGGACCCGGCCGAGATCGAGCGCCCTCGTTCAGCTCTACATTCTGGCGACTTCTTCGAGAAGCGTTCCTCCGACTCAATTTCATATCCGTTGTCTGGTGCTCCGACACGCTCAACCAGTCCACCAAGAGACTGTGTTGTCTCCTCACCCTCGACCTCCTGGTATGCGCCTGCAGTCCCTGCCTTCTCACAGCGCTCGACAGAATACGATGGTGAGTCTTGGTCAAGACCTCTCATCTCTCGGACGAGGGCCCCGTCTTTAGGGAGCAGTCTCTCTTCGAGCTTCGTTTTCCGTCCTCCTACGAGTCCTCTTGTTCATGCTGCCAGCAACACTGATCTAGATTTCCCTACGAGCTTCAGTACTGCATATCAGCCATCAAGCCCTGAAAGGAGCAACCGGAGGCGTACTCTACCCCCTGATAGCTTTTACTCCTTTCAGCAAGCCTCGGATAGCAGCGCAGCGGTCACGAACTTTAGCAGGCCATTTGCGTCAGTGAGACGACAGTCGTCACTTCCTTATCAAGCCCATCAACCTCGAAGATCCATGACCTCTTTTCCGACGGGTCACTCAGTATCCAGTCCTCAGACGCCTGGATTGCCACGATCTAGGAGACCGTCATTCTCTTCGGACCACTCTCCTTTACAACACGCATCAATGGTAGGTTCATTTGAGGAATCCATTCTCCGTGGCAGGATGTCCACCGCGCCTTCCAAGCCGCTAGACTTTGTTGCCCAGATCGGTGTGCTTGGAAGAGGTGAGTGCAAGCCTAACCTTAGATGTCCCGCTCATGTAACGGTTCCATTTCCTGCCGTCTTCTATAACTATCCATCCATCGGGAAGAGGTCATTTTCGGACGATAGCCCAAGCCCTTATGTTGGCACCATAGATTTGGAGCACTCGCTAAAGCCGGTTGAAGCAAAAAAGGCTCGAAGACGTCCCGCGAGTCCAGCACCGAGCGTAGATGCTCTCATGAAAGATGTCACAGCACCGGAGAATACGCATATTGGGTTGGCCCTTGAACGAAAGAAGCGAGAGAAACATCGGAAACGATCGGCCTCCCCGAAGAGCCCTCCCGGTGGCTGCTATCGTGTCCCTCAACAAGGTCAGCTACAAATTGTCATCAAAAACCCAAACAAGACCGCAGTCAAACTCTTTCTTGTCCCTTACAGCTTGGATAGCATGGAACAGGGCACGAAGACTTTTGTTCGGCAGCGCAGCTTCTCGGCTGGGCCTATACTTGAGAAACCATTAACCGACAAGCCACAAGCTATATTACCTGACCCTTTACAGCATAAATCTATCTTGAGGTACTTGATCCACCTCAAATTCTGTTGTCCGTCCAAAGGAAGATATTATTTGTATGACAATGTTCGGGTAGTTTTTGCAAATCGTGTTCCTGACGGTAAAGAGAGCTTGAGAAACGAAGTCCAGCTCCCAGAACCACGTTATAGCTGTTATAGGCCAGGACGAGAATCTTCGATGGGCAGTGCAGGAGCTAAATTAGTAGCAGACAAGGCGTCGAGGAGACGAAGCTCAGGTTTGGTTCTGACATCTGCCGGGTTTGATGCTATGGATGGATTCACTTTCACTGGACTTGCGACGACATTTCCTGTCGATGGAATTGCACCAGCGCCGTCAACATTTATACCGCTTAATCTTCTTCCCCGAAGCAAGACTCAAACAGCTCTTTCGGAAGTGGACGAAGAAAGGCCGCAAAACGATGCTGCTGCCGGGTTTCAGACTAGGAAGCCTACTTCACGAGCTATAACCGCGGTACTTGCAGCTGAAACCGAGCCGCGTGAACGGACAACGTCTCCCACTCCGGGATTTGTGCTCTCCACAACTACTAGAGCTTCTCAAGTGCCATGGGCAACAGTTGATTTCGGTACGACTGATATTTGCAGCAATACAGTCTCTCGGACTGTGTCACCTACACCAGCTGAATGCGGTGAGGGACTACTTTCCCGAGAGCTCAGGAGCATGGACGTACGGAAATCATCGACCGAGCAAGCTTGACGCAGACAAGAAACATACCATGCTCATGTGGCTTATTTGGAGTAGTTCAAGCAGCTACCAAACGGGCAACGGTGCGAAGCTCGAGGGCATACGCTTTGAATACAGGCCATGGAGCCTGTCTTTCAGTACAGGGTGGCGCAGGTGTGGTGTTTGGTAGTCTGGTGCTAGGGGCAGTGCGAATAACTCAACGGCAAATTGATATGCCCCTTGCTGCAATATACCCATCTGTTTGCTTTCATCACCAGCCGAAGTTTAGACGCTTACTCGAGAGATCAATAGACCAATTTTAACTCTATTAAATCCTAACGAGTTCTATCTTTGATGAAGAGCATCCTCTACCGCTCCTATCAAATCAGTGGACTGATATCTTTGGGCCCCGGTCCCACACAAGCGTTACGCTGCCAATCTCGGGTCTTTAACCAAATGCTCGTATACGATTTCTCCAATGGGCAGCCTATCCGAAACTGGCAACAACAGTTGCAGACCGCTCCGCCTACACCAGTTTAACCTCCCAGAACCATACGATAAATACTGGCATCCCTTGATATCAGAGGCGTGATTTAGGAGACTATCTTGGGTCCTCCACGATGACAGCCACCGTGTCAATGGGGTATGGGCTCAGCATAAAGATTTCATGCCTAATTTCGACCAACACTATATGGCACTTCCTAAATGGGATTGAGTCGCGGCTATGCAGAAGATGGTTGAAATCAGTCTGACATTGTCACGAAAATCCTGCTTGTTTCGTGTCAGTGACATCCTTCGCGGGACTACTTTGTGGCTCTTTATTGGCACTTCAGGAAACCTGTTTTATGTCCTACAAACTGCTACTTGGGGGATTCTGCCCTCCAAAACTACTCCTCTGGATCTGGTGGCACATTCCGAATTTTCGATTCTAGATCTCAGCTGGGAACGCATTGTCCGACTACCAAGCTTTCGAGCCGGATTTCCGGATGCTATTCGAAGATACGGTGTAGAGCAGTATCAGCTCATGTTTGAATTGGGTGTGTGTAACTAGGAATCTCAAATACAAAGTTCGGATGGAATAACTCTGCAGGCGCCAAGGCCCAACAATGGCCTGACTGACTAATGTTTTGCGCGGCTGAGAGACGTTATTTGCGCATCGTGAGGAACAATCCGATCGCAACACAAATAGGGCGGGTCCGTGATAGGCGGAAGACAATCCTTCCACTCTACCATGTATCATATTCTACTTATTCCGGTTAAGTACTTGGCGGAAATCAAGCTTTACCGGACGAAAGCTGCCGCGCGGCGGTCCCGTCCAGTCCATGAGGCAGCCAAGATAATGCCGAGGCTCTTAACCATACTAGTCGAAGAGTACGGAGTCCGAGTGTATCAAAGTGATTGAAATACACTAAGAGATAGCTTGCCAAGATATACACTGTTGACGGTTATGTCATTTGACTTCTCCTCTATAAGCTTTGGGCCTTCTGACGCCCAAAGCAGTGGGGCATTGGATAACCTTGATGCCCAGGCGTCCGATTAGGAAGTCAAAGTGCCCTAGAATAGTGGTCGCTTACTACACAGGGGACATATCAGTGGTATTTCTTGTGACGTTTTAGGCTGGATAGGCTCCAAGCCCAGAGATTCTTGAAATGACATTACAAGGATAATGCTACTCTTGGCAGGTTATCTCTTAGCTTATTTTAACTCCTTTTGATGCACGACTCCGAATGGCCTGCGTTGAGCTGGCGGATGCGCCCTAGCTAATCATATTGACGCAGGAGGTCGTTTGGATGATCGATGATCGGGCTTGCATAATGCATTAGGCCTACATCTAGCCAAGTGGTAGGGGACACCATTGGCGAGCGACCACACCGCAGCGCCTTAACCCAGTGCTCTATATTTTTGTTTTGTAATCAATCCGTTGAACATTTCCAAATCATACGAAAGGAATTCATAAGGACGTATTCCATTATCTACCGATGATGTCAATTGCTCGTCCTTGGCTAAGATACTGGAATGCTTCCGCATTGGCGTCAAAGGTATAAGTAGGAGTACAAGAATTCGCACTTTTGCCATTCAGTGTACACTCAAGACCAAGCATTGAATTAATCAACTTTAAATTCCCTCAATCCTAAACACATCCACAAGACTATCAAAGATGTCCTCTCTCAAACCCCTAACCCTCTACTCCCACCACATAGGTCCCAACCCGTGGAAAGTAGCTTTCATCCTCGAAGAACTCAACCTCCCCTATGACACCAAAATTGTCCAATTTCCGAACATGAAAAAACCCCCCTTCAACACCGAAGTCACCCTGAACGGCCGCGTCCCCGCCATCATAGACCCCAACAACAACAACCTCACCCTCTGGGAATCAGGGGCCATCGTCCAATACCTGATCGACACCTACGACAAAGACCACAAGATCAGCTACCCCTCCTCTTCTCCCGAAAACTTCCTCTGCTACCAATGGCTGCACTTCCAGATGTCCGGCCAGGGACCCTATTACGGCCAAGCGATCTGGTTCGCGAGATACCACCCGGAAAAGGTGCCGTCGGCGGTAGAGCGGTATGTCAAGGAGATGGAGCGGGTGATCGGGGTGTTGGATACGCATCTCCAGAAGGCACGGACCGAGTTCCTGGTCGGGAACAAGTGCACGTATGCGGATCTGGTGTTTGTGCCATGGGCGGTGCTGGTGCCGTCTATTGCCAACGACAGTCCGATCGATGTCGAGGGCAAGTATCCGCATTATGATCAGTGGTTGAAGAGGGTCTGTGAGAGGGAGGCGGTGAAGAAGGCGCTGGCTGATAAGGCGAGGATGAGTGAGACGAAATGAGTGAAATTGTAGGAGATAGGTACGGGGAGAGGATGTATACGTAGTAGGAAGAGAAGGAAAATTGGTCTTGAGGCAATAGAAATAGATTAATAGTATTACTTCCTTCGGATCAATTGTGAGAATGTCTTCAGAAACACCAGCCAACCCGGACACCTTGAACTCTGTTTCTGTCCTTGACATGGTAGTGACGTGACGGCCGCCCCCTCACGACAACAATGCCAATAGCAAATCCCTGAGCGGGTGCAGCTACCTTCAAGTTTCAGGGGCCTTTCCAGCCCACAATCGGAATTACCTCTACATCCACTTCTTCTTGTCTTCGTGAATGCCTGGTTACGCACGATGAGCTCCCCGCCCTACTCTCAACCCCACAGAGCGTAAGCAGAACGATCAAAGACAATTTCTTCAGATCATGGTCAAAAAGACGCTCCTGCGACGGCCTCCTGCTATCATCACCAAAGGGAAGATCCTACTCGTTGTCCAAAAGCGAGAAGCAATGATGCACCGTCGATACATTCGAGCAGTAGACGATCACCCCAGCAGAAGGAGTACGAGAGTTGCGAACAGACTGATCGTGGTCTCTAGGAAAGACCACTTCCTGATTGTGGATAATGAAGTAGAGCATACCGGCACTCTTCACCATGGGAAGTCATGGTAGTCTTGCTTAGAATTCAATCTCGCTTAGAAGTCAATAGAAGCTAGCCGGAAAATAAGAGTTACATTTCCCGTAGGACCTACGCAGTACATTTCCTATGATTTCAGATCATACTTTGAGAGAATGTGGCAAAACCTGTTGACATTAGTGCCTACACACACACTACAGGGGGAACCATAAGTATTTGTAGCACGGGGCTTGAAACACAATATCAAAATCACAAAGTCAGGTAAATGGCTCATACTGTAGTAAGGATAAAGTACCTAGATATCGCCTAGTTGGGACTAGTCTTCTTGTTTAATTGCCTAACGTCCACAGGAATACCCATTAAGATCAATAGGGCTATCTGTACCCGTAGCGTTCGGAGTGGCAGATACTAGCACCGTGCTAAAACTACTTAACTTATGTCATCTACTATAGTACTAATCTTAACTTTGTTAGTAGACTGTGTGGGTCAAGAAGACATGTGATGATGTATGTGCCTTGATGATGTGTGTCTTGACTATTACGGTATTAGGCGGAAATTTTGCATTACCCCCCTGATGAAACGCTAGTATTCATAAACTACGCACTACACAGAATTTGAGTCTAGGTGTCCACGGAATGACCCAAATAGGACTAGTCTCTAAATTCGAGCTTGCATTTCATCAGCATCTGCTTGACATCTTGTCTGCATCAACTGAAGCAGCTCCGTGGGATAATCAGAAGGTACAGCATTCCATGCGGCTCTAACAGCTATTTATAGCTCGTACAATGTGCAGAACACGTACAATACACAGAATATTCACAGGATGCGCGCAGGATGAGCAGGATGGGCAGGATGAGCGTGCGGAACAGCAACAGGAATGCTAACAAGGATGCGTAACGTGGCCAACTCACATGTGCACTTCAAATTACTTGGTATTATGGGTCTCAGAACATGTTTCTGTTATTCGAATGTTGCCAGTGCTATTTTGAAGATAAAATTGATTGAAATAGTTCAAATAGACATCATGTAGACAAACACTGCTTACTTTTGACTGTACAACTCATCTCATTTGATTTCAGTTACGTCGCGCCAAGCATGCCAAGCATGTGCTGTGCGTGCGCACATACAATGGAGAACTCTAGTAGGAGTCGAGTTGCTCCATCGTTCGACTATGCGAATGTTGGGAGTGCTTCCTTTGTCGTTCCTACTGATAGTGCTTTACGGTTACGAGGCGCAAGTTATTTATATGCTAGATTGTTACGTCGTCATTTAGTAGGAACGGAGATATCGGCCATAAACCGGTGCACATGAGGGTGTGGTGCACATGTGAGTTGGCCATGTTATGTAAAGAGGACGTTTGGTGGGACACAGGGTGTCAGAATTCATTGCGATTTAACCGATATTCAACCATTTCTGCGGGAATTTTGCTGCTTACTCGGCTAAATTTCGGATAAACCGCAATGAACTCTGACACCCTTGTAAAGGTACTGTTGAACGGCAGGAGCGCCCATTGGTTGGGTTTTCTACGCGAAACCCCTGCGTTTCGACTGCTTTTGATTGGTCAATTTCTGCTGCAATTTCGCAGCTAATCTCGCTGTGCCGACGTATTTCTGCGCTCTGCGCAGCTTTTTGGAACGAACAGAGGCATTTCTTGTATCTGCTGCACAGGTACAAAAATGCCGCCTGATACTGTAGGTAGTGTAGAGATCGACCTCATGATTGGAGAAGAGATCGAAGATCGAAGATTTCTCGGCTCCCATTATAGATATATGTTGTACCAAAAGACCACGGCCCTCAGAGGACTGATAAATAGCTTATGTTTGACAATATATGGTTTAGACAATCTACTTCTGGTTCCAGTATCCAAAAGAATCCCTCCGTGAAGTATGCAGCCATTGCGTCACCATGATATTGTCATGCATGTTCAGTGCACTGATGAATGATCATCTTGCTGCAGTATGCATTGCAGGATAACTTACCCGATCTTGGCCGTCTTCAGAGTGTGGGGGTACTACATGATCCCGTGGCCGAGTTTGCAATATGAGACAGAGAGTACTTTGCGGCATTTTCGATCTTTGTTTGATTCTCTATTTTGCCCCAATCTTTGTATAAGAGGTGAATGAAGCATTGCAATACTTGAATTCTAAGGGTGAAGTATCTGTCTTCTGTTCAAAACGATCGACTTTTCGCCTGTTATGTTCCTAACCTGGTTGCTGGACGGGGGTCATTACCTTCTACTATCTCCTAATCCCATAGTAACTAGGTTTGGTGCCGTGTTGCTCAGCTTCGTGGGCCCATTAATCTTATGGAGACTGTATGCTTTTACGATAAAGCCTTGGTGTCGTCCAAACGAACCAAAAGAATTACCTTACTGGATTCCATGTGAGTATGCCTCTGCTCCTCAAATGATCGGCAAGCTAATGAGAAAACAGACCTAGGTTGGTAGCATGAGCATCAGGTCATGCGACAATGCATCGAGTGAAACAAAGCTTACGACCATTACAGGCCATATGATACCGTACCTAAAGAACGGCTCAGGTCTCATAAGCAGGGCGCGGTCAGTGATTCATCGTCGTATGGACAGGATGTCGCTACTAAACAAGGGTCAGCAAATACTTCAACGACACTCGTGAACCATTCGCCATCACCCTTACAGGAGGAAAGCTCTACTTCGTTACTTCTCCAGAGGAAGCGACGGCCTTCTTCAAGGACTCTAAACTCTTTCCTTCGACAAGATTGTCCGCGAGCTAGCAAGCTCCTTTGGAGTATCCAACAGTGCTCTATACGAATTCTCTCGTCAGCCTCTCGGTGAGAAAGACGACGTTGTGAGTCGAAAGACCGGTATCAAGAACCCTCGCTTGAAGAGCTTGAGTCAACTCAACAATGATTTCTGGAAACAACAGCTCTTACCTGGTGAGAGGTACTCTGAGCTACAAGAAAGATTCCTAGGGTATATTGAGACATCATTGATTCAAGCGGATACCAGCAACAAGTCAGCGACTTGCGAAGCTGCCAATCATGAGCATACCTCGCTGATGGAATGGACCCAGAGTGTTCTAATAGATGCTGGCGTGCGTGCATTCTTCGGCGACAAGCTCTTAGAGCTCGAACCAGACCTCCCAAAACACTTCCTGAAGTTCAACAACGAACAGTGGAAGCTCTGGCACAAGTGGCCTAAAACGACCCAGATGCGCGCCGCCAAATCTCAATGTATTAAAACAATGCAGCAATACCTGGCTCTTCCTAAGCATGAAAGACCAGGGGCAGCATATATGGTCGAGATAATGGAGACGACGCAACGCGCACTAGGCATTCCCGAAGACGATATCGCGATAGTTCTGTTCATGTTACTATGGACGTAAGCCTCATGAGACCCTTTTGATGCTATTTCTGCTGATACAAGTAAACAATAGCACCAACACGAATACCTACAAGCTGCTATTCTGGGCTCTAGCACACCTTCTCCGAGATCCAGGCTTACTAGCAACCATCCGAGAAGAGACTGCCCCCGCAATCAAGCCAGGCAAAGGCGTGTCAATCCCATACCTCACAGACTCGTGCCCTTGGCTGTCAGCGTTGTTAAACGAAGTCTTACGAATATATGGTGACGCATCGTCCACCCGCCTCGTAACGGCGCCCACGTCAATTGGCGGCAAAGCTCTCCCAGTAGGCTCTTGCGTCGTTGTGCCTGCGCAGCAGCTACATTTCAATCGCAGCATTTATGGCCCAGACGTGAACGAATTCGCGCCAGAACGGTTCATTCGCTCGAAGAACCTTACCCATAGTTCCAGTTACCGGCCGTTTGGGGGTGGGATCTCGTACTGCCCTGGAAGACTCCTCGCAAGGCAGGAAGTGAGCATCTTCATAGCGTTGGCTCTGGCGAGATTCGATGTTGAGATCGTTGGCGAGCGTAAATTTCCTGTGGCTGACAAGGGGAAGCCTACGGCTGGAGTGATGAGCCCGAAACCTGGGGAGGACTTGCTGTTGAGATTGAGTCCTCGCTAAGTGTGAGACCTAAAGGGGTAGTCCTCTTCGGGAGAACATCACTCATCAGTCCCAGACTAGTATCTCGCGAAAGTTGTGTCGATAGACGCTCTTTGGTGATGAACGCACCATCAATATCTCGACAACTGCAGCATAGATGTTGAGGATCATTTCGTCGAAGTCTTCGGGGCCCAGCATGTATCATGAATGTGCTGCTCCTTCAGCAGAAACATGTCATGGTTATGGTGATAATTGATCGAGTGAGCCATCTCCATGCTAAATGTCAAAATATAAGCCGTTCACTGCTGTAAGAAAGCGATAGTGTGACCAAAAAGCTTTGCGCAACATAGAAACAATGTCATCTTAATCATAACATGCTTGATGCTTGATCAGGCATGGACTCTTTGCATATACTCCGTAAAGTTACTGTAAAGAGAATCCGGGGGACCAGACACGGGAGAATGGAGCAAATTACATCACGTGCCTGAATTCCAGGGTCCGCTAGTATCTTGGCAAATCTGACTTTCGAGATGCGCCCAGTAACATGTCAATCAGTGAACGGTGTCGCGTCTGAATCCTCCAGAGTACTTCAAGAAACGCTTTATTTTTCTGCTCGTGCGCTGCTTCTTACAAATATTCAAGACGTCGTGATATTTGATATAGCCGTACTATCTTTAGTGGGGGAGCGGGGATCTCATTGCCCAGGGGCTAGGTGCTGCTGTCCGCGAACCCAGGTCGCGGAGCATCGCAAGCAAGCGCACGCAAGATGGACGATTCAGTAGCCACGCCGAGCTCGTTGAAGCAAGAGGGAGCCGAATCTATTAGCCAGACCCAACCTACGATCAATCCTTCCATACCTGAAGATACTGCTACTACCAACGACCTCGTCCCATCTACTGAAGGTAGGCCAAACCTTACCCCTGAGTCTTGCACGGCCTGCTCATGCCTTGAATGCTGGTTTATGGATAACTGTGTTGCGGGGTGCTGATTAACTGTCGTTCTGCAGCATCCGAGTTCCCTCCCCCTCTTCCAGCGCAAGATGAAGCTATCCAACCAATAGTACCAGCAGTCTCTGCTAATCCACTTGATGCGCCTCCATCTCCTCCACCCCAAGATGAACCAGAAGGAGAGCCGGAGGATGCGGAAATGGGCGGCATAGAAGAAGATACAAAGCTCGAAGGGGAAAGTCCAGAGAAAGATGCACGTGAATCGCAAGATGCTCTGGCGCCTGTCGCATCTGAGGGACAGCCTGCTCAATCCAAATCATCATTAGAAGCCACAGCACGTTCTCACCTCGTTGCGCAGACCCACTCCATCATCTTGCCAAGCTACAGCACTTGGTTCGATATGCACCAAATACACAACCTGGAGAAGAAATCGTTACCTGAATTCTTCAATCACCGTAATCGCAGCAAGACACCAGCTGTGTACAAGGACTACCGAGATTTCATGATCAATACCTATAGATTGAATCCGGTGGAATATCTTACAGTCACAGCATGCAGACGAAATCTTGCTGGTGATGTTTGCGCCATCATGAGAGTTCACGCGTTCCTTGAGCAATGGGGCTTGATCAACTACCAAGTACTTTCGATCCATGGACTTGCATGAAAATTTTCTGATACTGGCATAGGTTGATCCTCAAACACGTCCATCAAACATCGGTCCTCCATTCACAGGCCATTTCCGTATCACAGCAGACACACCTCGAGGGCTTCAGCCTTTCCAGCCAGGTCCAAACGCCTTTCAAACACCAGGGAAACCACACTCATCTACCGAACGAGCAGCGTCCGCCACACCTGCCTCAAAAGCAGATCTCCATCTCGAAATTCGACGGAACATTTTTGACGACAAAGGAAAAGCGATCACGCCAGCTGACGAGAAGGACAAGCAGGCTGATGGTGAAGGAGCTACCACGAACGGTGCTGGGTTGGGCGATTCGGCAGTCAAGGCAATGGACGAAGCGGCAAAAGAACCCAAAAAGACCTTTAACTGCTACTCTTGTGGGATCGACTGCACTCACCTACGATTTCACTATGCCAAGGCAGATCCTACGAGCACAAATCAGCAGGAGGTGAAGTACGACTTATGCCCCAATTGTTTTGTCCAAGGGAGAATGCCAAGCACACACCGAGGGTCAGACTTTGTCAAACTCGAAGAGCCAGAATATACAACGATACCTGACAAAGACGCGCCTTGGACTGATTCCGAAACATTGCTGCTGCTGGAAGGTCTAGAAAATTTTGACGATGACTGGACATCCATTGCAAACCACGTAGGCACCAGAACGAGAGAAGAGTGTGTCATGAAATTTCTACAGCTAGAGATTCAAGACCAGTACCTCGACGACGAGCCCAGTCAGACTTCTCTCCGCGGGCTGAACGGACGACAACCAATAACCCAGCTCGAAAACCCCATCATGACCGCCGTTGCTTTCATGGCTCAAATGGCTGATCCAACGGTAGTAGCCGCCGCCGCAGGCCGATCTGTCGAAGCAATGCGAAAAGACCTGCGTGAAACCCTAGAGAAAGGCATGGGAGGCATGTCCCTAGACAAGGACAAAAGGAATTTCAAACCGTCTAACGGTGACGTCAAACACGAAGACTCCATGGATGTTGACGCCACAAACACCTCTCTACAAGCAGCACCGATCAGCGAAACAAACACCAACGGTAACACTGCCTCGAACCCCTTACCAACAACAACAACCCCAGCAGCGACAGCTTCCACAATCGGCCTATCCCTCTCCGCCGCCCGGTCCTCCGCCCTAGCCTCCCATACCGAGCGCGAAATGACGCGCCTTGTTTCCGCCGCGGTGAATCTAACCCTCCAAAAATTTGAGCTCAAGCTCCGCCAATTCAGCGAGATGGAACAAATCGTCCAAGCGGAACGAAGAGATCTGGAGAAGGCGAGACAACAGCTATTTCTCGACCGGCTCAGTTTCAGGAAGCGGGTCAGGGATGTGGAGGAAGCATTTCGGGGCGCGAGGGAGAAGGGGGCTACGGAGGAGGGATGGAGAGCGGTCATGGAGGCAGTGGGCTTGGCCGGTGACACTGGAGGGGCGAAGCGGTTTGCGTTTGAAGCGAGTGCTGCTGAGGAAGTGCAGCCGCTGAGTGTGGAGGGTGGTGCGGCGGATTACAAGACGCTAGAGCTGTGAGAATGTATTCCTTGCCTGCTTACTCATTTGATGTTGTTTTCGGTGCACGGACTTTCTGGCTGGGCTGGCACGCAGTACGTGGGAGCATGTAACCTTGACTGATTGATGGCAAGTGGAAGGAATTGTCCAGGACGGTCATAAAACACGGAAAGAGGCGATTCTCTTACATGGAAAGATCGTTGGGATATTGCGAGCTTGGTAGGACGTTTAGTCCGTGTATGTACCGTGTCCCTACCGAGGAAAGCTGCCAAAAGAGGTATTTCAATGCAAGCCTGCTAGGAAGAGAGCAATCTGGGCTTTTCCCTACTCGTTATGAGAAGTATGTATGACCATGTTACTGACGTAAATTGCCAGGCTACTAATGTACCAGTAGGAGGCGTAATTACTGGTTAGACTCAATTCCTTTCAGCGCTACTGTGGTTCAGTCGTATTTTCCCTCCTCCTACTACTAAGGGATATGCCAAGGGCATACCAAGAGCCAAACATAACACTTACTTATGATACTACCTACGAGAGCTGCTGACAGCTTGACTCCAAGTCGGGTTTGGCTTAAATCGAAGGTCTCCCAATCTGTAAGCATCCAACAACAATAGTCGGGTCATGAAGTTGAGGTCCAGCGCTTTATTGTGGCCTCCGCTGAACACAATGTCATCTAAACCATAGACGTCTTTTGACGGGCGATTGCTGAAACGGCTCCTCTGGCTCCCCTGGCTCCCTTGCATTTTGTGACGTGATGAAAATCTTTCACCGAAAAGCGTCATGTGCTTGGATAGCGACCTAAGTTGAAAACGCAGGCAGCCGCCCCGTACTCAAGTGTCGAACTTGCTGACTAATCGACGGATCAGTGTTGAAATAGCAAGTTGTTCTATCTAATGAGTGCGAAGAGCACGTATTTATACGTACAGATGCTGCGTAGCGTGAAACGCAGATACCAAAAATACATGCGGATCTCATGCGAAACGCGTATCAGATCTGTAACAAAACGTATATGAAACGCATGGTCAAACCGCGCTCAAACAGTTCAACATCAAGTATGTTGTGCAAATTCGGAGCTCGAGCTGTTGTACAGATACGACCAACTGTGAGGTCTGGTAAGCGCATTAGAAGTTGTCCTTTCGTGTGCATCTCTCAACGTAGCATGGCGACGCCTCCTGGGTCTTACTACTCTGAGGTGGACGCTGAGCCACTGGAACGTTATTATGTGGGTGGCTATCATCCAACACATTTGGGCGACACCTTTCGAAGTGGAAGATACAAGATTCTGCACAAGCTGGGCTGGGGTGGATATGCAACTGTCTGGCTCGCAAGAGATTCCAAGTAAGAGAACTACCCCTTCTCAAACAGGAGGCACTACTCATTTGAATTCAGACTCAAACGCAACGTGGCCATTAAGATCTTGGTTTCTGAGTCATCGCCAGAAGACCACGAGCTCAGGATGCTGAAGCTCCTGTCAGATGGCCCGCTAGATCATCCTGGTAGAAAAAATACTATGCAGATGTTGGAGCATTTCGACCATGTGGGCCCAAAAGGTCGCCATCGCTGCCTTGTTCTCGAACTATTGGGGCCAAATATCTCTTTAGAAGCCGAATCGTATGATAGCGATAGGCTGCCAGGACGCCTAGCTTGGGAAGTCACGAAGCAAACCACACAGGCACTCGACTACATCCACAAGAGTGGTATTGCACATGGAGGTTTGTTCCCCTGCGCTCCTGCTAGCACGATACTAATTTGCAAATACTGGCACACCTACATCCAGGCAACATTGTCTTTGCAAACACAGGGCTGTCTCATCAATCAGATGTGCACATTCTTTCCAGTATGGATCAGACAGAGACGAGTGACGTTCACGCCAGCCCTGGCTATCCTCTGAACTCGCATCTTCCCAGGTCCCTTGTAGCACCAACGTCATTGCCGGTTTCTACCAAAGAATCTGGCAGTTGGGAAGTGAAAGTCGTGGATTTTGGCCAGGCATTCATGCACGGCGACCAGCGTGAGATACGATGTCCCCTGGTGTTCAGAGCGCCCGAAGTGATCTTGACAAGCCAATGGGATTCTAGAATTGACATATGGAGTCTCGGCTGCACGGTGGGCGAAAGATCTATTTTCTTCAAAAGTCGTTGGCTTACTGGCTCCAGATATTTGAGATAATTGTAGGATATCCCCCATTCGATAACATGATGCCGACTAGAGAAGGCCTTGTACGAGAATGGATCGCGATGTTTGGCCAGCTTCCTGAAGGGTGGAGCGACAGGGCTGCTGATCACAAGGAAAATGGTACGTAGAAGTCCCTTCAGTTATTGTATGCTTGAACGTGGTGGTCAGAAAACTCGGTTCCACCGGAAACTGACTTCAATCCATAGCTGATTCTGTCATTGAGCCAGTAACATTGCGAAAATGGTTGTTTGACACATATTTCGAGAACGACAAGAAAGCAGACTTCTCTGGGACTGACATGGAGCGTCTGGCTGACTTACTTGCATCAATGCTCACCTACTTACCATGTGCACGTCCTCAAGCAGCAGAATTGCTTGAGCATGCTTGGTTCCAGACCAACTCCGTCGTACAGAGATATTGCACAGAAATATGAAGAAATGGCTCTGTTCTCTCTCAAAGTTGCGCAGGGCGCAGAAGCAACATATATGACAAAAGGAGGCGCTTAATCGAGCGCACAGGCCAGCAGCAATCTCTCCTACGGTTGCCTTTCAATAATAGGAATAGTGTTGCCGCAACTTGAATTGATTAAAACTATGTTTGATGTCATAATTTTGTTGCAGTCTTAAACATCTAATGTTTCTACACTAAATAAGCCTATTATTATAAATCTCAAAGCTGTAGAATAATCTATGATTCAAGGCTCATCCAATGATACTATTCATAAAGCCATGACCCTTATAATAAAGGTAATGCAAGCAAAAAAGCATTAACTAGAGAGTAAATTGATGTTGGCATTCCTCTTGCCAAGACTGCAGCAGAATTATCAACTTTACTACGGCAGGAGGCATAATGTTTGTCACCTGCGCACTAGTAACTGGTTGTAACGCCAAGACGTAACGCCGCAAAATCGCCCAATTAGGACTACTCTAGTTTTTTCTTATTATCGAGTATGCCGCCCTTCTGCATCTTTTACTGCCTGGCATCTCTCTGGCGTAGAATTTGAACGAACTTGATAGAAATTCGTAGATGGCGCAGAATGAGATAGAATCAGTAGAATAACGCGTAGAATCAACAAAACGCGCTTAGAATGGCGACAGTGAGCATTCGTACAGAGCAACGGAGTATCTGTATGAGCGCTGTTAATGACGTTACTTACTAGTGCGCAGGTGACAAACATTATGCCTCCTGCCGTAGTAATTCACTTAAACTCTCACGGGAACGCTAGTCCTAATATTGAAAGGCAGCTCATTCAGGGATACCCCGGGCAAAAGGCCGTACGTAGTAATACTCACGACCAAGGTTAGCGGCGTACATGTGCACACATACCCTCTCCAGTTGGCCTAATGTCACACTAAGAAAGCGAGGATCTGCGTAAAGCCACGGAGCCTCTATGAGTCGATGCAGCCGATATACTGCAGCAACGGATGTGCCTCGCACTCTGTTTCTTGTTCGGTTCTCTCAAGATTGCCTCCGATGGCGCGGTGGAGGAAGAACGAGGGCGACGCCTTTCCACACCGGCCCAGCCCCTTGTTGCATCCAAATGGGTAGAACGCTGGACTGCGACGTGGGACTGCTTTGCCTGCGTCCCGTAGCTCCACCATTGGATCGACATCTGCCCATCTGGAGGGTTGCAGAGAGACACCGGAACACAGCTGAGAAAGCCGATGACGGTTCTTGTATTCGGAACTTTAATATTGCAAGACAATTCTTTTTCGAGCGAATAAGCTATGCCACGGAGCTAAGCAAACGGTGTAATGCGTTAAGAACTGCAACATTGTCATTTTTCTCCTCCGGTTATGTCCCGAAGGGTATGGATGGAATCTATGGACTTGATAGTAGAGCTTGGAATTCTCCATCTCCCAGAAATGCCTTGGCTCGAGCACACGAGAGCTCTTCAACATATTCTATAGCAGTATACGTGCATAGATTATTCTGGCTTCCGCAGGAGGATTGCTGGCTTATATCGAAAAGCGCTGGACTGTACAGTTTATGTCAGTCTATACTCTCTGTCTCCATCTTGCCAGGTGCAGAAACTCACCCTTCTTAGATTTGCCCCAAAAAGCGGTCCTCCAAACGGACTACTAAAAGGGGAAAAAAGACACATAGATAAAGAACCAGACGATCACCCCTAGCTTAGCTAGACAGCCTCTTTCTGCTGCTGCGTCTCCACCGCTTGCTCCTCATCCATGCTACTGACTTCTCCTGCGTCCTCGTGACGCTGATGCTGACGCTGACCATGGCGAGCAACACTGCCTCCATCTAAGTGTCCACCTCTAACCTCGGCCATATCGCTATCATGCTCAACATCCATACTCCTACCCCTCCTCTCCGGTCCGAGGAACGTCAGAACAATCACATACACATACACGCAGGCCATGAAAATACAGATGACCTTTCCATAATCATACCGTCTGATCTCGTGACCTCTTTGAAATTTAGGCGGGAGCGGGAATCTCTCACCAATAGTAGCCTCGATGGTCGATGAGGCAGAGCTGATAAGGTTACCGAGTTGGTAGGACGTCCCTACGACGAAGGTACGGAAAGACCCCGGAGACAATTCCATTAGGTGGATAGGAATCACGCCCCAAGCGCCCTGGACGCAAAATTGCTCAAAAAACGCCGCGGCGGTGACGCTGTGAGACGTGGTGAAGGAGTATGGGTAAAGCAAGGCGCCACCGAGGATACACATGACGATGATAGTGAATCGACGGCCGAATATCTGCGAGCAATAGCCGATTACGGTGCCGCCAGTTATGGCGCCAAGGTTAGCGACCACTTGGGTGACGGTGACGGCATTATGACTGAAATTAAACTGGTTGGTGAGCATGGTGGGGTAGAGGTCCTGGGAGCCGTGGGACATAAAGTTAAATCCAGCCATCAGCAGGACTAGGTAGATGAGCAAGATCCAATGGCGGCGAAGAGCGACCTTGCCTTCCTTAACGAACGTGCCGGCGATAGAGCCTTGCGCTTTGCGGGCGGCAACACGCTCACGGAAGGAGACGGTTTCCGGAAGGAAGTAGCGGAAGATAATGATCAAGACCGGAGGGCAAGCTCCAAACCAGAAAAGTGGTCGCCAGCCATGGGAAGTTGTGTCGACCAACCCGCGGGCAAAGGCGGTTGCGAGGAGATAGCCGAATGCATACCCTTGTTGTAGCATTCCAGAGATGATCCCGCGGGCCTCTTGAGGACAATCTTCGAGTGCTGTGGCGGCTGCATTGCCGTACAGGCCGCCCATGGCGATGCCAAAGAGGGCACGCACAGCGAGGAATTGATCATAGTTCTGGGTGAACCCGGTTGCTAGCTCGAGGACAATGAAAAGAATATTGTTGACAATGAAAGGCCATTTACGTCCGTATCGATCTGATGCGATACCGAATATGATGGCACCAACGGATCGAAGCATCAATACGAGTGTGATACCCCACGTGATGTCCCTGTTGGTCTTTCCAAACTCTTCTGCTAACTGTTCGACCGTCAAGGATACTGTGAAGAAGTCAAAAGCATCCCAAGTCCAAGCGATGAATGCCACGAAGAAGAAAAGCCATTGCTGAAGATTCAACATTCGCAGAAGTCGAATCGGATTCGGAGCTTTCGCTAATGGCGGCTTCAATGTTGTGAGGCGTGTAGCCAGATACTGACCAGCGGAAAGATGCTGATCGGTGGAATCACCATCGTGGCTGATAGGAGAGCCATCACGCATGACTTTCTCATCGTTATATGCCATGTTGTCGACGAGCGAGGAAAAGTCCAATGGGCAAAGTACGCTTTGAATACCGAATTGTTGATAGAGAAGGGCGAAAGGTGACCTCGGCAATGTTTCTGATCACTTCTGAGGATAAGAAACGTATCACTCAAGGTCAATGGACAAGCATACGGCATATAGCCTACTTATAGGGAGCCAGTTAGTGTAGAAGCAACACGAAGATTGAGGAGGACCCTTGTTGTACATCGACGCTGTTGAGAGGTGCGAACGGCAGTTTGCTGCTTCAGGTGCAGGTCCTCATGGTACACACGGAATGAAATTGGAGAAGCTGTGGGGTTGAAGCTCGGTATGGGACAAATCAGATGCTGTCGGTTGAATGGTCGAGTCCATGCCAAGGTCATGATCAGCTTCACACTTTGCTTGTTCGGATTAAGCAGCTACCACTGCATGCATGTCATACTTCTCTTGCGCCACTCGTTGGCCTCTTATCCCTGACGAGCTACTTCATATGCGGCCTAAGGATGGAAGGTTCAGAGCACTCCTGCAGGAAGGACTTCCTTCACATGAGCGGGATACTCCCGATTTTGGGAGAAAACCCTCATAGGCCCCATCATATGATAAGTGAAAGTGATGGGCTGTGGGCACTTTGATTGTCTACCTGGCGGAGGCCTTGTGTGATGTGTTCAATTATTATTTTGAACGAGGAAAATTGTGTGAAGGGGTGAAGGTCAATTCCTTGGCAGAGATCTGCCCGCTAGCCTTTTCCGGAGAAGGTATGTAGTACAGAATGAGGTTAGATCTCTCAGGTTTAACCTCTGCCACGAAGCCGATGAACAGACTCATGGTGTCATACTACTCGGTAGGAGGCATATTAAATGTAACCCTCTCCACTAGTAAAACTGTTATTTAACGACCTTCATACAGATACTCTTGCTGCGCTTGACGAATAACGTACCCCCTTAGGGGGTCATTCACCACGTTCGCCGCCGCATTAAGCTTCCTCTACAGATGCTATCTCATTCTACAACTACTCCAATCAATGCCAGTAAGATGCCAGGCAGTTATAGATGCTACTGAGATGCACACTTGATGTAAGATAGATAGTAGATTAGTCCTAATTGAGCGATTTTGTGGCGTTCTATCTTGGGGTTATAAGCTGTTACTAGGGCGGGGGTTACATTTAATATGCCTCCTAACGTAGTAGTAATCAACAGAAGGATCGCCTCTGAGAAGATTCCTCTTGTCTTTGGCCCGCGCACTGCGAAGTCTTCCATGTGTATAATATTGCATGCATGAGAACTTCAGTAAGCTGAGAAGCAGCTCCATAGCCCCAGTCCGGTACACGTCTTCTGCGCTTACATTTGGTAATACAAACCTGTGTCGTGTTGGCTGGATACTGCCAACGTCGTCACCCGCAAAGCCCGAGGCGGGTCATTATAATAGAGCTCAGAATTCGTCTCGATGGGGTCATTCTGGCCAAAAAAGGAAAGTATCTGTTTCTTGATACCTTGTTTCGTGAAACATCTTACTCGAGGAAGATATGAACAAGGGTGGGAAAAACAACCTAAAAACCTCTAAGGTGTCTCTATGCTCCATAGAATGCCGGTCTCGTAAATTCTACTGCACAAGAAGAAAATTCTGGTTGTAGATGTCAGAATCCCTGCGTATATGATACGTATCTGTTACGTATTAGCATGATGGTACAAGCGTCCCCGCATGCAAAACGCACGAAACGCTCTTGTAACTGTTACGCCCTGTTATTTATGGCAGTGAGCATTGCTATACGAATTGAACGCCAAATGCTGTTTCTGAGCTGTTACAGTAATGCGCTTCTATAGCTATTAGTAGGAGCAAATGCTCCTCTTGATAGGAGTAACTCAATCAAGTGAATTGGCACTTCCGTACGCTGTTTGCTACTACTTCTAACAGTAGAGACCCTCTTCAGGACGACCGGGGGCTTCCATGGCTGAAGCGCTCATCCGCAAGAAGCACGTCAAGATTTGATGCAGTAACCATGACCAACCAGTTCTTCTGGCACCCCTTGAAGGTCCGTCGACCGCCTTCTGCAAGTTGATGCTCTGCCTAATAACACACGGTCAAGCATCTCCTGGTCCCTTCTATCAAGGCATCCGCTGTTTATTGCCAGCCTAGCACGAAACCTTTGTACGCAACCTCTCGCGGCCCGGAAACGTCTTGCAGCATCTTCAAAGGTCAGACAGTGCTTCTTAACACGAGAACGATGCCAGAACCTAATCCTAGGCCGGGCAAGCACTTTCCTGCCCACTAAGATGCCATCAAACCTCGGTTCCTCAACCATTTGCTCGTCAACGAATCTAACCACCTCCTCTAGCACCCCGACCTCGTTTTCCCGAAGGTCCAGCTCAAGGATATTTTGCTGTAGCTTGAGGGGCTCCGTTCTCAGGCTTTGAAACTCACTACTTAGATCAGTGCAGAACATCCTACACATATCCTTTCTCTTCGGGACGACTGGTAGATCACGGATCATTGTGTCCCAGTCAGCACATGTGGCAATCAGATCTTTGAGGTCTTGTTTCTGGGTGAGCAGAGACGCTCGACGACCGTGGATCACCTTTGAAGTGGTTTGTTTCTCTTCGAGCCCTTCCTGCCCCGATCTTTGTGCGCCTTCCCAACGGGTCCAGACATGTCAAGAACGAGTCCCTATGCATTCCTATCTTGGAAGTTGCAGTTACGGTCTGATGATCTGTCAAGATGCCTTCCAGACTTGAAATGCCATGCAGCGAATCGAATTCGAATTCTTGGTCGCATATTTTATTGCCACTGAGGCAAAGGTGCGCCCAAAGATGAAGAGACTTCAGGTTCTCAGGACCTTCACGAAGTGGAGCTATTGTGTCAGCACCCAGGCCCCAGGTTCCCATGACTTCACGTGGTACAACTCTGCCTTGAACGGCCACCGGTAGTTTCTCCTACAGCTTTCCCAAGTCTCTGTGAGATGAGTCTCTGTGAGATGAGTACCTGTTGCTAGGTCCTCTTGGTCAAATGGTTCAAGGTTCTCTCCAACAGATACATTTATACCATGTTTTGCTCTCCATCTTGCTGCTCTCTTCCGAAATACGATGTCCTGGAAGTCACCAGCTCGACGTCCAATCTGTGCCATAAAAGCAGCATTCTGGTGCACCTTATATGTTCTTTTCATACTGTGATCCTCCACATTCACACCTGACTCATGGCTCTCTGGTCTCATCTCCAGATTTCTTGCGACACATGGAAAGCCCTGTGCCATCGACGCCATTCCAAGAAGAGCACTTCCAGCAATTCTCTTCAGCTGAGATCTGAGCTCATGGCAAACATCTCCATAAATTGAGCAGGATTAGTCTTGGCAACTGCACAGTCAGGTGCTGCCTCATCTGCTGCTCCCTCTTCGCCTATCAGTTCAGAGAGCAGCTCATCCTCCTATATCACCTCAAGGTTAGAAACAAACCGTACTCCTTCGCAACTCAGTCGAGCCCCCTCATCAAAATCATCCAGCATCCTCCCCGCCAGCATTCCTTCCCTCGTGCCAACCGCCTCCTCCCACCCACTTCCCGATCCCCAGGAGCGCCCCACAATTACACAATCCTCATCTCATCCACCACCCCCCTCGCCTCGGGAAACCGCGTTTCCCAGCTCGCCAACCACATAACCAGTGCTTGCCACAGAGCAAGATCCCAACACGATCACCTCGCGCCACCTCTGCGACAGTTATTGCAAGCCTGCCGAACCCGCAGCTGCAGTCTCAACGGGCCCTATCCAGCTCTTGATGTCTTTAACGACCTCAGCAACCTCCACACGAAGTTTCTCAACAGCGTGCTGGAAGTGACATCCAAGCTCTCACTGCTAGAAACCTCACTACACCATGTCAACAGCATAGGCACAGTGGCGCTCGCGACGATCGAGGGGGAGATTGAGGATGTAAAGGTGTTGATCCGGAAGTTAAGACGCTTCGAGGAGAGGATCAAGAGGTATCTGCGGCTGGAGGCTGAGAGGGGTGGCGGTGGGGGGTTGGAGATTATTGCGATGGTGAGGGATAGGTTTAGTCCCGAGATGAGGGATTTCATCTGCGGGATGAATTTGTTGGCTGTGAGGGCTCAGTTCATGGGTTTGCAGTTGGGGAGAGGCTTGGGGATTTCGCGGGTGCCAGGAGAGCGAGGAGTTTTGAGAATTAAGTGGGAAAAGGGGACGTGGTGGGTTTGGTAATGTTTTTGAATTGATGTCTTGCGTTAAGTGTAGTATCCGAACATGTCGAGCTTCAACAGGAAATGCTCGAATGGTGGTTCGCCACCTCCCTGTGGACTCTTTCCTTCTGAGATATGGGTCTTTGCGGTCGATGCAAAGCCCTGATTGCGCAGACAACGAATCAGTCTGCCCACATGCCTTTTGAACTCCCTATACACGTGTTTGGTTTCCTCCATCTTCGTCCCATCGTCATTGCGCCTAGAAACTGCAGCAAAGCGCAAGATAAGCCCAAAGATTCCGTCGATCACATCCCTGACTTGCGCCTGCCGACGACCCAAAAACAGCGCTTCAATGATACGATCGAGAACTTCCCCATGAAGTCGTTCGAGGCGCGACAAGCACCCGGCTATGGCTATAGTGCCTTCATAATCGTCTCGGTCGATTGCAGCTTCAATATTCTTCAGCAAGTCCTGGAAGCGTGACCATTCCACACCAATGGCATCATTACTCGAGTATGCGGCGAGCGTGCTGACGAAGTGCTGGGCCTCTATCCTGAATTTCTGGTTCTTGCTGCCGGATCGTGCAGTTCTGCCAGCTATGTCTCGCAGTAGACTTTGGGCGGCGGCCTGCACACGCAACAGTCTAAGCATGTACTTGAAGATCCTGTCGTATTTTCTTAGACTGCTTTGCGTGATGATACTGTCTAGGACAGGAGGCGCTTGGTATTGTAGTCTTAGGAAGTCGAGGGTTTCGATACTGCTGAGATCTTTACACTTTTCCAGTTCGTCAGTAGAGAGATCGCGGATGGCGAAGGAAAGATTGCCGGGCAGGTCATCACTATCGACGCCACTCGCGTCCGTGAGATGATAACTCTCGCTGAGAATGCCCATCAGGACAAGTCGCAGCTCAGAACTCGCGGGCGGCCAAGTGTCTCTAGCCTGCAGCCGAAGGCCTGTGGTACCCTCCATTATTCTACGTCCCTCGCCGCCTGCTTGGTCTGAATCGAAGAGAGCCCTACTAAGGCGTGAGGCAAAGAGCCCATCAGACAGAAGCTGGAAGCGGTATTGAACGGATAGGTGAGCGTAGAGTGAATGGGTTTTGAAAAGGAGATGGAGAGTTGAGAAAGAGAGTAGGCGTGATTGAGCGCTGAGCAGGGGGGTGAGGGAGAGAGAAAGAGAGTGGGGTAGTGATGGACAGAACTCTGATTGATCAAAAGGGTCTGATGATCCTATGTCTGCCGCCAGGGCTGTAGTTGTAAGCTCAAACAGAGTCGACTCGGTGGGTACAGAACGCCTGCCTAGATCTCGATCTAAAACATTTGGCACATCCAAATTGGTCAGGATTAGGCGGTCATCCTCCTCTGGTAATGCATCCTCGATCTCAGAGTGTCTTTGTTGATAGCCTTTGGGTGGTTTACCCTGGTTATATCGTAGAATCGCCTTCCGAAGAACATGCTCATACTCGTCTGCTTGCGTTTGCAGCCGTGCAATAGCTGCCCATGACATATACCATGATAGGTGAGACGAGGAAATCTTTGATGAATCCAAGATTGAATGGTCAGCCTGCTGGGCTTGCAAAATATTGAGACAGCGCCTAGAGTTAATCACCAGTTCCTCGACGACGGCGACGGGCGTTTCCTGATTGTTAAGTGGCCCATGATCTTGAGCCTTCGTACTTTCAGACATGAGCAACGCCTGGACCTCTGCACCACCCATACCTTTTCGGAGTCCCACCTCTGCTTCTAATGCAGATATCCAAGGCGTAGCAAGTACACGTAGGATCTCATGCAGCACTTTCCCCTGCCAGACGTGCTGTGACACCTCTTGTTCCGCTCTGTACATTAACTGTATAATGGCATCTCTAGCGCAGTTTGTAGTTGCGGCTACCTCAATAAGATGTTGTAGGCTGTGAATAAGGTACATTGGGCGAGAGAATAGGTCCTTGACCTGGAGTATTGACTGTAGCTTGCTCTTAGATGTCTGAATTGCAGACTCAACTGCATAGACGATAGTTGAAACCGCAGAGCTAAGAGCTATAGAGAGAGGCCTAACCTTTGGTTCAGTGACAAATGCTTTGAGTCGTCGCATACAGTTCCCCATCTGCAGCACGTCTTGAAGTACATCTTGTTGAACCTGAAAGCTCATACCAGAAATTTCGAAGTCTTCCGTGACTGGGACAAATGTTGCCAGCAACTGATCATAGCGGTAGAGCATCGAGTCTCTTCCGAGTCCAAGCTCGAACAACGACCGCAGGAAATCTTCGTGCCGAGCTATCAAATTTGGGAGTTTGGTATTTGTTTTCAAGGCTTCATCAGCAAGAACAGCATTGAAGACTGCTAGGCCTGCTTCGCTCAAGTACGCAGATCGTGGCTTCTGCGTCTGAGGCTGCAGGAAATTGTCCCAATTGACAAGCTTGTTGTCCCTGGTGCCACTCACCACATCCTGCAACGACCATACATCCTCCAAGATCTCGTCATGTTCGATCACCCCGCTGGTCGAAGCGCTTTCTTCTCCTTCTGACGCGCTCCTCGATTCCACCAACGAGTCGAGTTCAGGAAGTGGCTCGTCGTAGCAGTCAAGGGTGAAGAATTCTGAGCGAAGCTTGGGCAAACGTTCTTCTTCCTTCCCATCGAAATCAGTATACACAGCGAAAAAATTGCTCGCTTGCTGAAATGGCTGCCATATCGATTTTTGGTCGCTCAGAAGGTCAGGGATCTCCAGAAGGCCATCTAAAATGATCGGTTCTTCGTTCGACATCGAGGTGGAGCCTTCCGCCATGTTGCATCTGTGGTGTATGCTTTATTCTCTCCATCAGTGATAGTGTTGGAATTGATAGAAGCCCCTCTCCGATGTAGCTGCGAAACGGCTCAGTACATGTAAACATCGTCATCGGGGAATTATTTCACAAAACGCGTGGCGCGTGGTCAAGCTTGGCGATGATGCACATCTCGGGATTGTCAGGTACGCCTGGGAAAGTTACCGAGTACTGCTACATAGTACATATCTGCTATGGATATCGACCATCAAAGAGTGACAACATGACCAACACATTGGCGATATATATCTCTTGATTGTTGCCTTCAATCACTGGGAAATGGCCCCAAGAAAATCGGCGCAAGCAGACATTGACCCACCGCCAACATTTAGTACCCCAGCTCCAAATCATGATGAGATTGTCCCGGAAGAGGTTCAGAAGAGCTTGTCCCGGTGGACTGACGAGCAAGAGATTGCACTGCTCAAAGCCATTGTGAGGTGGAAACCGGTAGGTCAGTCACTCTATTTCAGACTCGCGAGTACAACTGATATGCGAGATGATCCAGGCGTGCACAAGCACTTTCGCATGATCGCCATCCATAACTACATGATCAGTCAAGGCGTTGTCAGCTCAGGCGATCAGCACACTACTATACCAGGGCTCTGGACAAAGCTAGGATCACTTTACAACCTGCCGGTTCTTGATGAAAGAGAAGACTCGTTGCTGAATAGCTCGTCCGAGGAGAATGGCTCGTCTGGTGAGTTGTACCGCCCCCGTTTCCCAGACCATGATTCGGCGCAAAAATTCGACGGAAGGCTAAATCTGAAAGGGTCGAAAACACCCGCATTGGACTCTAGAAGAGAGAGTACGATAGCCGACACAGATGAGGCAGGGTCGTCGCCTGCCCCGGGACGACGTGGAGCTAGGGCAACAAGACGGGGGGGAAGGGTTTCAAAGCTACAGCAGGAGATTGGAAGTAGCCATAGGACAAGTAAGGCTGCTTCGATGACGGAGGACGAGCCCATGGAAGACGCTGAACAGGAGGAAGGAGAAGATGGAGAAGGCAGCGAGACAGTGGATGGAGATGATGCCGAGGACTCGACAAAGACAAGAAGCTCAGCAAGGGCACGAGGAACCCCAAAAGGCAGGGGGGGTAGAGGTCGTGGCGGTACAAGAAGCAGAGGACGTAGGAAATAGTGTCTGAGATTGTAGAAAAGACTGCATGCAGTATGAGAAGCAATTGATAATGCATTTCCTTCTGTTCTATAGCCATTGCGCGCTGTGAGACTGTCCTGTAGATGCATAGAGAACATTACCGGCAGCCAGAACATAGCCTGAACGTCCGCTTCTTTCTTTGCGACCCTCTTGTGTTTGTAAAAAGATAGTATATATTCACTAGTTTCGCACAATTTCTTCAATAATGAAAAGCCCGATGTGTGGATGGCTTGGTGGCTAAGGCGTGTGACAACCCTTCGAACCCACTCAAGTTATGGCCCATACATTTCTCCTAATGGGATTTGTAGCCTCCAGTCCCTTGCACAAAAGCCCCGATAATGACGGGTGTGGCCATTTTCCCCACAGTTGACTCTCTTACCGGCTCACTTTGTGAGTGTCTGCCAGTTTGTCAGCTGACTGATAAGTACGAGTACTGTCCATTGCACTTCGGACGGGAAATGGAACGGAGTACCCGCCTTGAGCGGGTTGGTTTTTTGTGTTTTGGACAGGGGAGGTCAAGGGTTCAAACCGCAGTAGAAGAGGATTGAATATTTTTGGTTTCAACGATTGAAAATATTAGCATGCTAGGATCTGCCATAAGCTGTTTGTGAAAAGACTTCAAATCTCATTTAGCCTTGTTTAGAGCCTTCCAGGAAAGTAATAGAAGAGCTCTTGATATCACTGGCACTGCAGGAGGCACACGCTCTGAGAATAAGGAGGTCTTGGCAAGAAAAGGGGGCTTGAATGATGAAAAATGAAGATTCTCTATACCAGTAACATCATGCCAGCACTCGCTGCTTTACTCAGTGGCCTTCCTTTCTGGCCTTCCTCTCTCCTGTCTCTGTCTTTTGAAGCAACCAAAACTCCCTCTACTACCGTCTCTCAACTTCTTCAAGGTGATTCTCATCTCTCCTAGCTCTTGCTGCAATTTGGCCCTCGCATCATTGCTAGTCCGCTTGTCTAGCACTTGATAGATCTCAGATTGCGTGTCACTCGCTTTGCTGGTAGCATATTGGCTCATGGTCTGCGCAATGAATTCTGTGTCGAGCGTCGCTTGCATCAATGCAGGCAAGGTGTATTTTTCGGGCTTACGGTTGGAGAATGCTTCAAGTAGGGCGGTGGAGACGGCTTCTAAGAGGTAGGATAGGATTTCTGAGAGGAGTGCCGGTGGGCTACCGACTCCTGATGATGGTGTTGTTGTGGTGGCGGAGGGGGTGGACACGGTGGTGGATACTTCTGTATGGACCATCACAAGTGTAAGCATTGTTGTGTACACGTACGGACGGACTTGAGTTGGACTTGATACAGGAGCCCAGTCCGGCGCGTTGATACCGTCTTTGATGGTTTTGGTGAGGGTCAAGATCGTGGGCAGAGTATAAGATTGGAAGAGACGGGCGTCAATTTGGCCGAGCACATCACGGATAGTCTTGGACTCGTCTGTAAGCTTGACAGAGAAGGAGGACTCGAACAAGTTGACCAGTTGAGGCACAAGGTCGATGCGCAGAGCCTTAAGATTTGACAAAGTCAGCAGCATACGGACGTTGCGACTAGAGGCATCGATCGTGTCAGAGGCTATTGGAAGACTGGAAATATTCTCCGCGTTGGCACTGATCATGTCTGGTGTCACAACAATCCAGTCATCCTCATCTACCCTCACCGCTTTCTCCGCATTCTCGACCATACCACTGAGAGCTTTGTATACACTGGTGACGAACTGTGTCTTCACCATCTGCAGCAGCTTGGCCGGCGGTGGAGTTATTACCTCGCCAGTGCCAGCTTTCGTTTGTGTCTCTGAGAAGTATAGAATCTTCTGTAGACCTAGTAAGATGGTCTTCTCGAAACCGACGAAAAGCGTTGGCATCTTAGTTTGATCGCGGTTCTCCGGACTTCGCGTCCAGTCTTCAAGGTTCCTGCAACTTTCAGCGTCCTTATTCCAAGCATCACAAACAGCGCGGACACATCTTTCCCGAGCTGCGCCCACCATGGCCTTGATCTTCTCATACGAGTGGCTCCCAGCTTTGATGGGGCTCAGGGAGGTCATCTCACTTGCGGCTGTTCCCACTAGGTTTAGAAGCTTGCTCAGATAGTGAACAGCACTGAGCGAGTTCGAGTGTGGCGGCCAAAATGCAAAATCCTCCCAAGGTTCTCCACGCTTCGGCGATGGTGGAGGCAGAGTCTGCGGATCAATTCTGCCAAATCGGCTTTCGCCGGGTGATAGTGCAGCTGAGAGCGGCGTACTAGGCGTGTTTGGTGGGAAGGGAGAAAGCAGAAGGGAGATGTCTTCGATTGGAGCATCTGCGAACAAGGAAAAAACAGCGTCTCGAATGAGGTTGACCAAATCAATAGCACCATTCTGCAAATCTTTGACTCCTGCCTCTGAGAGCCTATGATGCTTGCGACTTTGGCCTTCAAAGCCTGTAGGTAAGGTGCTCTGTTTTTGACCATCGATGAAAGACTGTGTTGAGTCCCAGAACTCCATTACCTCGCCGAGCAGGCCACTAGAGAGAGACAACAATTTGGTTAAGAAGGCGAGGTTAGTCTCCCACATTTCGATGACTTGTTCTGTGTCTATTGCGCTTGGATTGTCTCGAACAGCCTGCCTTAGAAACGAAGCTGTGGCTGGTGGAGGTGTAGCCTCAGATGCTGCTAGCCGTCGTCGCAAGATTTCGATCTCAACTTTGGATCTCTCCGACATGCCAGTAATTTTGGTCTTCAAGTAGTCGTATCGGCTCAACAACCATACCCAAATAGGATTATCATCTACACCCAGCTCGAGAAGAACCCCAATCAATTCCATGTGCTCTTCTGTCTGCCCTGGTCCTGCAACTGGAAGCACTGATTGGACGTTGCTCAGTCGCCGCCATATGTCTCTTTTTAAAGCTTTCACTTGCGTTTCCACATTGGTCCACATGCGGCCAGTCACCAGAATTTTGTGAATCTGATCATCTGTCAATGCCTGTCGACCGTTGACGGCCTTTTCGGCAACAGCTCTGGCGTCATTTGAATAGTTGCGAGCTGAGTTGTACCGTTCAACAATAGCTTCATAGTCCTTTTGCTTTATAGACTTGGAAAGATTTGCGCCAAGCTCGTAGATCTCTCGCTCTTGCTGCACAGCATCCACAATTGATTTCAACCTTTCCTCGCGTTGACGACCACCAAGCGCTGGACCCCAGACATCCTCGGCCTTCTGTGAGACTTCTAGCAGTGGCGTCTTGATACCTTGCACCCCGAACTCGCTCTCCTTTCTAAGAGCGTTCTTGCTAGGCGGTGGTTTAGATGGCTGCGACATGCCTGCTGCGCTACCGCTGCTGAAGTTCCTAAAGTGACCGCTTGAACGACTTACGTGTCGAGAGTGGGGTGGGGAAGTCAAGCCGGTTTCAGTCTCGGTACCTTGATTTTTCATCTCTGTGTAGACGTTATCGATGGTTGCTTTCGCCCGTACGAATCTCTCGAAGTTTGATTCCACCAGAACCTTCAGAGACGCAGATTTCTGATCGATAGACCTTGTCAGATAGTCCAGACCCTGAAGCAAGGATTGTGTTGACGCATTGGAATGCGTCTGAGACAGAAACAGGCCTGGCGAAAAGGTCGTCGAAGAGAGCAGGAACTTATTTCGTAATCGTGCATCCTCGTCAACAGGTAACCCACGTTGCTTCAATACAGCAACAACACTGTCTGTGCCGCCTAGGGGATCTTGCTCGTCCTTCTGAACCAGGTTCGCCCTTCCATCACCCGTCTTTTGAGAGCCAGGAATCACACTTCGGCGATCACTGGCACTCCTTTCCAACGCAGAATACCTTGATTTAGACTTTCTTGCGCTGGGATGATTGGCCGGTGCTGCCTCTTCGTCGCTTTCATCAAGCTCAGCCGGCCATTCTACCGGATAAGGCGTAGACAGATTGTAGTGAGTGACAATACTTCTCTCGAAGTCCGCCATACTATGAGATCGGTCTGGAAAGTAGTCACAAGTTTTGTCAGTTCGGTCAATACGGTAAGGTATACTCGTTAGACACGCGTAGTATTGCCACCGCCTTTAATCAGTCCGAACTCTTTCGACACAAGCTACTAGTTCCCATCAGTAAATTCAGTTGGTCACTGCTCTGTTGCCAAGTGGAGAAAAATCTGCCCCGAGCTCACCTCCCGCCGCGGCCTAGGGTGATGCCGCTCTAGCTCACCCCGGTCTCACCCTGGCCGGGTGAGACTCAGGTGCCACTCACCCCCTGACCGCTGTGCCGTAAGGCAGCAGCCTTGGGCGGTTTACAGTACCTTGGCAAAAATTTGGATGCAAAACGCGCCCATGCGAACTTACGCGACTTAACCCCCCTTATTCGTTTAATTACCATGGCTTAACAGCCCTCTTTCTCCGTATTCTACATGCTAATTCTGCGTATTCTAGGTGCTAATTCTGCCCATCCTGCCTGCACATTCTGATTTTGATGGGGTATGGCTTGCAGCCTTGGCAAGCTACCGCCACCAACGTTAAACTCAAGAAGGCAGCACCAGCAGGAAGGGGAACTTTATCTAATCAAAAAGATGATTCTCGCGGGCCGTATTTTTAAGCTTATTAATGCAACAGCCAATTATATAAACTTGGCGGTGCTTTTATATTAGATAGATGATAATAATATTTTATAATTACTAAATAACTATTATTTATGTTAGATAAAGAGTATTAGGGCTCAACTAGTCAAGACAAGTCTCAACTAGAAGCTGGGTCCAAGTGGGTTGGTTGGGTAGAACAGGAAGTGCAGTGAACAATACTAAGATGTCTTCAACTTAGGTATGAGCTGATAACATGAGTTGACTACGGAGTAAGAAGAACTATCTGACTATCTGCGAAAGGAGTGCGTTTATATAGATAAGAGATTCGTATGCTCAGTGGTGCTCAGTAGTGAGCAGAGGTGAGCAACCTTAAGTGTGCTCAGTCTTGGCTGTCCATGAGCAACCATCCGGGTAGTCTTGTCCTAGTGGCCAAGCCTAGTGCCTAGCTCTGGGCTGTGTGGCTCGGGCAACCTTCCCATCCTGGGAGGTGCTGTAACAAAGAGCCTAACAGAAAAAGACAAGAAAAAGACATAGAAAAGGCGTAAGAAAGACGTTATCTTAGGTGATAATAGTATATTAATTTTATCTATGTCCTGCAGACGACTATATAGCCTCTATCTGACGTCTGACAGGTGCATAATAAACGCACAACAGATGTATAACAGGCGCATAATAATCTAACTAATAGTGCACTTGCGCCTATTACTCGCATGCTTAACCCATGATTGTATTAGCTATAGGTTTCAACAATTCGTTTAAACGTAAAGCCTTTTATTTTTAAAAAAAAATGTTGCAAAAATTAAAAAATTATAATTGAACCGACAACAACAGGATTTGAACCTGTGCGGGCGAACCCACATGATTTCTAGTCATGCGCCTTAACCACTCGGCCATGTTGTCATAATAAATTAGTTTTGCTCTAAAATATAAATTATATTTTATTCATCTAGCGTTTATTAGAGCTAATTATTGCAAACTTATAGTTATAACTAAGATTAAATCAAAGTATCTTTGGTATATTAAAACTTGAAGTGCTATGCTGCGCTAAACGTGTATTATCTCTTGTTGCAATGGCTCGAAACTAGAACAAGTCAATAGTCCATAGATTGCTAAAACGTAAGCTGAGGAGTCTATCTACAGCGCGGCCAGCGCTCTGATCTATATACTCCTCCATCGAGCGCCAGAGGTGCTACTAGCTGACCTGCGCAAAGGATCTAACGGAGCATCCGCAGGGCCAGAAGCGGTAGCTTCCCTCTTGAGGAGATTTTACGTCCCCAAAGGGGCTATACCAATCTGCTGTCCCATGGTTCCTGCACGGGGAGCGACGTGCTGTACGAATGCCTCTATCGGCGGCATAGTAGCGTAACGGCAAGAGTTCCGCGTGCCGTTGTGGATACGCCATCGGCGCTGCCATCCGAGTGCGTGGCTGGTTATGTGCATTTCCTGCGCCATGGCAGAGGAAATGCTCCATCCATCACACTTGTAAGCCTGAATAGATCTATGTTGTAGCCTCCTTTCTTGTAGAGTTTAGCGTTAAGAGATACCCGCGTTTAGCGGTGAGATTATTTCTGCAGCCTTGGCATTAAGAACATCAAAATTACTAATAGGAGTCTGCTGTAGCCTTGGTAAAAAAAGTAAAAGAGTATTAGTTTATAACAATAACTTTGAATATAACTCTATTATTATAAAAGATATAAATCTATCCCCTGTGTCACTGAATGAGCCTCCTTCCTTATTAGGACTAGTACGATTTATCTATAAAAGGCTAATTATTATCGCTATAAAACTATAAATAGTATCATTCAAAAGCTAGAAGAGTTAGCCTTTTATAGATAAATCGTACTAGTCCTAATAAGGAAGGAGGCCCATTCAGTGACACAGGGGATAAGTGATAGAGAATGTGGAAGTAGTACTTTGATTGTGTGATTAGGTAGGAAAGGAGAGGAAGGGAGGAAAGAAGGGAGAGAGGGAAGGTATAGCAAAGAAGGGGAAAAGGTCTCACCTTGTTTTTAGGTGAGAAAGAGCCAACATAGAAAACCCACCCCCCCCCTTGATTGCATAGGGTGGCGCTAAATGGCCATGTTAGAGACCGGTGACGAGAAACCGTCGTGAAGCAGGATCATGGGTGAGCGCTGGGTGAGCTGGTGATAAAAGCGGCGGCGAAGGGGTGAGGGTCGAGGTGAGTGCGGAGCAGATTTTTCTTCACTTGTGCTGCCAAGAATGCTGAGGTCGCGGTGGGCAGCTTGGCCGAAGCTCCACCTCAAGCTATCTCATTTGTTGTTCAAGCTTTTGAACCCCAACTAAGCGAAGAGCTCGAGCCTTGTCTCTGTCCTCGAGCAATTTGCTTATTGTACAAGATCCTCAAAAGCTTGCTTTGCACAATTGGGCTCTAATTCGGTGTTTTCGTTATGATCCGCTCCCGCGCATTCGCGGTTGCTGCCCGCCAATGCCTGCGGAGGGCTAGCCAACAACCTCGATGGGTGCCTGGCTGTTCACAGGTAGGTAGTCGAGATACGCTGCGGGATGGATGATTGAGACTGACAATTGTCGTACTTTTAGGTGCCGTGCAGAAGCTATGCAGTTGCGAAGCAAGACCAGGTCGCGAAATTCAAAGGGAAAACAGGCTCAGACGGAAAATATACTGTGACTCTGATAGAAGGCGACGGTATCGGTCCTGAGATATCACAGTCTGTCAAAGATATCTACTCAGCCGCCAATGTACCTATCAAGTGGGAGCCAGTCGACGTAACACCGCGGTTGAAGGATGGAAAGACAGTAATCCCAGACGAGGCGATCCAAAGCGTGCGAAAAAACTACGTTGCTCTGAAAGGTCCTCTGGCTACGCCTATCGGCAAAGGACATGTCTCCCTGAACCTAACTCTCCGCCGAACTTTCAACCTTTTCGCCAATGTGCGTCCTTGCAAGTCCATTGCGGGCTACAAGACACCCTACGACAACGTTAATTTAGTTCTCGTCAGAGAGAACACAGAAGGAGAGTACTCGGGCATTGAACACGTCGTTGTAGATGGTGTCGTGCAATCCATCAAACTGATAACCCGCGAAGCTTCTGAGCGAGTACTACGGTTTGCTTTCCAATACGCCGAAGGGATCGGCAAACCCAAGGTGAGGGTAGTACACAAGGCCACCATTATGAAGATGTCCGATGGCCTATTCCTAAGCACGGCACGGGACATCAGCAAAGAATTCCCCAACGTCCAATTCGACACCGAACTCCTTGATAATGCTTGTTTGAAAATCACAACAGACCCGGCACCTTACAGCGATAAGGTGCTTGTGATGCCCAATCTTTACGGCGACATCCTATCGGACATGTGCGCTGGCCTGATCGGCGGCCTCGGCCTGACTCCTTCCGGCAATATTGGAGACGAGTGCTCTATTTTTGAAGCTGTTCATGGCTCCGCCCCAGACATCGCAGGCAGAGGCCTTGCGAACCCTACCGCATTGCTGTTGAGCAGCATCATGATGCTGCAGCATATGGGCCTGAACCATTACGCAGACAAGATCCAGAACGCTACCTTTGCTACACTAGCAGAGGGCAAAATGTTGACGGGCGACTTGGGTGGGAGGGCTAAGACACATGAGTATGCTGATGCTATTATCAGGAAGCTGAAGGTATAATTCTGCGGACTGAGGAACAGCAACCTTGTACAGCGTGTGCGAATATGTATCAATCCGGTCAGCAAATCGATAGATGCAGAGTACCCACTATGAAGAATATCTTAATCCTACTATTTCAACACCCAGATTTCAAAAGCTCCTGAGCACACAAGTCAAATCGTGGCAAGGCTGGAAACAGAGATTGGAACGGACTTTTAAAAGCAACCCTTCAATTACATAAGACCCACGAATCGTGTACAAAGCTCTACCACATCAAAGCGAGGAACGTTCCACGTTAGGGGCCGAAAGGATATTTTGCGGAATTAGTCTTAGGCGAAGATCTTGCTTGAGTCGGATTAAGTAGGTAAATTTGAGCCATAACCCCGATAATGAAATTCCAAATGATACAAAATAATTCCCTTGATAAAGAAAAACAAGCCAATTATCGATGCATACACAACAATACCTATGCCCCAGCTCACGTAGTCGCCTGCTCAAACAGTACGATCGTCTCACAGAACGCGTTTTTGTTGCTCGCCTGCGGCACAATGGCGTTGCCCTCATACGAAATTAAGTAACTGGATCCCTTGGTGCTCACGGCCCACAAGTAGACATCCGTGCTATTCATGACTGTTTTGGGGTGATTAGTTTTTGGTGAAGCTTTGGACGATGCGAGGAAGAAGGGGCTTACTATCAATCATCCTCTCCTGACAGGTCTCAGTGTTCAAACACGAGGAATCCCAATTCTCGAAGAAGTGGTAGAGACCGGCGCCATATGTGAAGACGTTGGTGCTATCAACGACGCGGAGACCCCAGGTCCGGGGGCAATTAAATTGTGTGCATTCCTCGAAGGTAGGGTCGGTGTACGCAGATTGTATTGTGTAGGGCGACAAGGCGGTCGGATTGCCTTGGAAATAAGCCGTTTCATGCTGAATAAGGCCCATGAAGACGTTGCTGGCGTGCGAGATCTGGTAGTCGTAGAGGACGTTGTGTTCGGCTGACGTGCCCCACAGCCAGACCGGACCGTTCTTACTCTCTATGAGAAAGCCCCTAGAAACCGGGTGTGAGCTGCTTTAGCACGGCGGCGTTTTTAATAGTCTCATTTACCTGCCAGTATAGATATTGATCTGTCCATGGTCTTTGAGATCCAGCTCGTGATCTGATGTCCAGCCCCATATATTCTCACCGTAGAAATCTGCTTGCTCTGTCACGTGCAGCATCAGGAAAGCTCCTGAGCAAGCTTCCATGGTCGCTTGACTGGTGGTTACAGACGGGTTCTTCGCGCAACGATCACTAGCACATATTAGATTCAATGTCAGGACCGTAAGCCAATACTCGTACCTCTGCAGCTCAGTGCCCGCAGTTCCTCCAATGCGCCAATGAGAATCCCACATCCCCGCAGCGCCTGGGGATGTCGCTTTGATGTTCCACTCCACCAAGATCGCTCCAGGCGTAGGACCTTTTGTCTCGAAGACCAGCTCAGAAATCTCTACCGTTCCAGATTCCCCAGGATTTCCTACTCTGAACAATGGTCGTGGATTATTCTGGTCGCCAAAATTTGGGCCTGTGGCCATCACTATTGGGAAAAGCTCACCAGTGATCTTCAAGTTGATAGGGACTTGAATAGTGTTGCTGATGATATATGCACCATGGTCGAAATAAGCAATTTGCCCTGCCTGAGCAGCTGCATTGAGAAAGTTCTGCACAGCTACCGTATCATCTTATCAAGAGGTCAGCGGTACTCTACTAAAAGTAAGAAATTCTTACCAGTCAGACCGTCTCCTGCTGCATATGTCTTGGCCCGGAGAAAGCTGCTCGCGTCATACTGTTCGTATTGTGGTTTTGATCGTGCAAAATAAGCACCGCTACTGCTCACAAGATTTGAAGGCCGCGGTATTGGTGCCAGTTGCTGTTGAATAGTGACTTCCTGAGCAGTATAGGTGCTGTCTGTGGTATTTGAATACGTGCAGGTGGTTTCGTTGAACTCGGTGCCTGGAGTGATTGCCTCTCCAGCGGTTGTCCATGCATTCCCCTGGGCGAACGAGGCAACTGTTTGGCCGCCAGCCAGGATCACACGTCCACCCGTATTTGCTATCGCTGGAGCTGTGCCGACAAATTGAACGTTTTCGACCACCAATGTCCCCGCAGTCTGTGGCGAACTGAAATCTGGTACATACGGTGTGACTATGCCAGTCCCACTTACAGAAATACTGCTATCCAGGAGTACGATGGAGCCAACAGCCTGTTGGTCAAACCCTCCGCTTGACATATCGATGCCGATTGAGGCACCGGTGATGGTCACTCCGTGGAATGTCCATAGCCAATTGAAGTTCATATAGATTGCGATGTTGCCGTCGATGAAAGTCAGGTTACGGGTAGTGAATTGTTGATTGCCCAAGAACATCTGGCGGTCTCCTCCTATAAAAACCAGATCAGTCATGAAGCCTCCACTGCCATTCTCCATGAATATCTGCAGGTTGTCAGTCTATGTTTTTGCCAGACCAAGAAACGTACGCCTTGCTGCTTATTTCCGGCTACCGTCTTGGGCTTCATTACGAACTTGATGTTCTGCAAACTCGTTGCCTGAGCCACTTGCCAGTGTATGCCAGCAGCGCCGTTGGCGGCATCTGTCAGATCGATCACAAAATTCCGAACCTGTCGATAGAAATTAACCTGATTTTGAAACCAGGTGTTTCCGTATCCATTAGGTATGTAAGGATCAGCGTCGAGAAGCCCGATGCCATTGTATGCCGAGGTTGCTTTTAATACTGGTAGACTGACGGCATCCCCAACCATCTGAGTGTTATACCTGTGGAGTCAGAGACGGTAGATGATACCACATCGATCTACATACCACATAGCGATTGGCCTCGAGACCTTGTATGTTCCTGGTGGAACGTAGACCAGAGCGGGGAAGGTGGTCGAGCTCTCGCAGTATCTTCCCGCCGCCGAGTCACCACCACCACATCGGAAGCCATAAGCAATCGCATTCTGAATTGCCGCAGTATCATCTAGAAAGCATTAAAATTGCTGCGGGCCGCCTCACGGAAATCGCTTACCTGTTACTCCATCCCCTGCGCATCTCCATTAGTAGCAGGATGGGCCAAGTCGGTGAGTGCAACTTACCGACTGCGCCAGGAACGCCCCCATACGATTCCTTGACATTACGGAAGACAGGATAGCTCGAATCGTTACCAAATGCAACAACGCCTTGCCGCTGAATGTTGGCCAACCAGTAGCTCGACTGTGCGGCGACCCACGTGCAGTAAAAGAGGAGCTGTAATGTCAAAGAGAGAATTTTCGGCAATTTCGGCATATTTACGAACAGCTTGCTGCAAAGGAAGAAGAGTGGCGCTTTGAGGAAAAGGGCCCTTGAAATAGCAATCCCATCGAAAATAGTTGGGCTTGCAAGACATCAAGGAGTTACACTACCGTAAGGAAAATCCCCAGTGATCGAGCGCGACGCGCTCAATCAAGGAATGTCGACAAGCTCCACCAGCGGAATGTGTCAGTCGGTAAACACCCTCATTTCAATGTAGATATTTTTGTAATCTTATATATTCTCCACTATCGTAGAGGATACATTTGTGGCACAACCACTAAATTGATTGACGCTTTGAACGATCCTAACAAAATATCCAACTTACCTTTTAATCGAAGATGAAGCATATCGGATCTTCCCCAACGATCCTGTTTATTTTGACGATTCTCACAGGAGCATTGGCAATACTCGAAGCACGCGGAGGGTGAACAAGCCATATTTTAATGCGTAATGCGATCTGACGCAATTTAGGGAATCACCGCAATGCAACATTTTGCCCGAACGATGTTGCTGTCTGCTGTCCGTTGACGGTCAAATGCGGCTCAGATGGAAAGTGCCCTCAAAAAGCCAAAGAAGGGGCAGGTTATGTTGAAGCCGGGCAAGCAATCATTCCAAAGGAATGACTTGCGAGATATCGCTGGTCTTCCTGAGCTAGATCTCCGGCTTCTGCATGTGACGGGAAGGCATGACATGTTCGATGTTTCGTATGAGTGAGCTTCCTTGTCAGCGGTGTGAGCGAGTTGCAGAGACGAGGTTTAGATTGAAATATGGACCAAACCATCATGTGGATTGTCCCCAGCTCGAACCTCTGAGTAAGTTGGCTTGGCTCAAGATTGAATTTTGTGTCAGAAAAGTCATCCAATCAGATCTGAAGCCATGTATCAAAGGCATAGAGAGCGAAAGCAGGCACATTCTATATTCATTATGTAACATATGGCCTATATCATGTTGAGTGTGAGAAGATGGGCAGCAGCTTCAATTGGATGCTCCAACATTGTTCCTTGTCAAGGCCAATCACGTGACATGCTGTAGCCTATCCCAAAAGCAGACGTTAGGGCAAGAAAGAGCCCTACCGAACCGAATTCCACCAAGAATCACGAACTCTCTGTTGGATGAGTTGATACTAAACCAGATTCTTCTCCAACACGTTGCAGTAACGATAAAGGTACGTTGTCTTTCAATCTGCCACTCCCGGTGAAATTTACACACTCTCTGAAATCATGCTGACCACAAGTCCATCCATAGATGGGTGCCCTCAAATACGTCGAGGAGCTCCAGAAAAAGAAGCAGTCCGATGTCCTCCGTTTCCTACTTCGAGTTCGATGCTGGGAGGTAAGACTCTCATGATGTGGCACATTGGTGTCTTGCTATACACTCGTTGAACATTGCTGAGAGTGCATCAATATAGCTCCGTCAACTCAATGTCATCCACCGTGCGTCTCGACCTTCCCGACCCGACAAGGCGCGCCGCCTAGGGTACAAAGCGAAACAAGGATATGTGATCTATCGTGTCCGGGTACGACGTGGTGGTCGCAAGAGGCCAGTACCGAAGGGAGCAACCTACGGTATGTACATGAAGGTTGAAGAAGTAGTCAGCTCTGATCGTTCTCCGCAGGCAAACCAACCAATCAGGGTGTCAATCAACTCAAGTACCAACGATCGCTCAAGTCGACCGCGGAAGAGCGTGTTGGCCGTCGATGTGCTAATCTTCGAGTCCTGAATTCGTACTGGATCAATCAAGACTCTACCTACAAATACTACGAAATCATCCTTGTTGACCCCCAGCACAAAGCTATTCGCCGGGACCCCAGGATCAATTGGATTGTCAACCCTGTACACAAGGTGAGCCATGTGATGCACATTTTTAAGAATGTCGTTGACCTGTCTAGCATCGCGAATCCCGTGGACTTACTGCGACTGGAAAGAAATCGCGTGGATTAGGAAAGGGTCATCGTTACAACAAGACGACGGCAGGCCGGAGGAAGACGTGGAAGAGGCTCAATACTTTGTCTCTCTGGCGATATCGTTAGGTCTGCTGAAATTGCTTTCCTGCTTACTGGCACTGTTTTTGGAGCTGTGACGGAGTGCGCAGTGAGGTGGGCCAGAAGTGCAATCCATCTGTACTTCAGAAAGTGGTCATCAACTCGTTGAGATGGAATGATATCTGTTCATGGTCCAAAAGCTGAAGCAATGTGACTTTGTACAAGGTCTAAGACGAGCCTTCATGACCTTCACAAGGATTGAGAACTCTAATTATCCCGGTCTACTGTATTCCCCCTGCCAATCTAATTGTGATCCTAGAATTTTAGAAAGAGATCTGCATTTCGATTCTCTAGTCCATTGGGATGCGCTGGGCTTGTATCCTCTCTATGACTTTAAGAGCAGCAAAAAAGGGCCGGACTCGTACGCCTTGCATAGAGGGGTAGATATGGTTCCCACTCCGATTTGGATCTCGGACGCGTCGACCCGTCAATGGGTGCATATCTTGCGCATTATAGTAGCCCCTTCCTCAATTCAAGATCGATCATGAATTCATGCGACTCTGCGTTCAAAGCAACATACCCATCCAACTTGCTGCCTTTCACTTTCACGCTGAGTGCACTGCCTTCATTACGGTTCCGGATTGAAGGGCTGACAAAAGCGACCTGGCAGCATTGGCAAGGCCGTCATGCTGGCCTGGAAGTTCAACTATTCATGAACGCACCAGTCCTTCCAACAGTAACACTCTGGATCCATGTCTAATCCAATGTCCTTTCGCGTACACAGCATCGCAGCAACCGCATTGCATCGACCACCGTCTCTGCTCAAATGCCTCCATGGCCACCTCGGCAACACGCTCACACCTCAACCACCTTCAACGGCACAACACCCAACGCATCGTCAAGCCGGATTAATACCAATCGACCACTCCCGCCGCTCCCTCCGACGGCTGTAGAACTTGATTTACCTACACACTACCCAAGTCGGAGAGCGGAGCCGGAAGCAACATCTGCTAGGCATGGCCGGTCATTCAGCCATCCATTTCCTTCTTTCTTTGGGGGTGGCAGTAAAAGGTCACAGAAGCGGAACCTGAAATCCAAAGTCAACATCGACTCGACCGACGATGATGAACCGTTCGACGATGGGCGCTCCAAGAATTCTGCAATTGTCCCGTCTCGCAACTCCTCTGTCAATGCGAGCAGCGAGCCGATGACAGGCAAATGTATGGCCTGTGATTCTGCTGTCAAATGGCCACGAGACCTGAAAGTGTTTCGATGTACTATTTGTCTTACGGTCAACGATCTGGAGCCTTATCAGGAGACGAATTCACAACCGCTCGAGACGAATCAGACCAATACGCATGCACAATTTGCGGTGCCAAGAAAACGTATATACACATCCAGGTACGCTTCTGTGGGTGCATGGCTGACATATGCCAGCCGTTCCCCTGTCTCTTGAACGAACCCGAGCTATCATTGAACACTCTTTACGAGTGTACTTGAGCGCACGCTCTGAAGGGGCGACGACACAAACAGAAGATGGCTTAGAAGCAGGCTCAAGACCTATCCTTGAACCCAGAAGTCAATCTAGCGATAATCAATCTAGACCCAGACTGAATAGGAGAAACCCATCAGGATCTGGAATGTCTCCCAAAGGTCTCACACTGGAAGGCTCGAAACTCATGAATTCTACGGAACCAGCCCGCGTTGAGGCACCGACATCTCCTAGCAGTCATCTAGCTGTACCTGCGGGAAACAACACGAATGTGGAAGTCTCGGACCTATCCGACCAAGATGGCAACTCGAAACCTCGATCCGTGCGGGATTTCATCTTTCGTCCAGTGGAGGACTATGTGGCTTCGTGCTTTGCCGGCTGTGCTACGTTGAACAAATCCTTTCTGACAGTAAGGCCAGAGTTTCAGAGAGCAGCTAGTGAGGGCCAATCCACTCGGACCGAGCCCAACAAGTCTCATCTATCCCCACCTGGCGGTGACAGTGTCCTGTCCGAGGTCGAGGTGGATGCTAAAACGCTGCTACTTGGAGACATAGCCGAGAATAGTTCTTGGTGGACTGGTGATCGACCATCACGAGGGTACTCCACACAAAATCTTGCTCGTGAGCGTTCGCCAGATTCACGGCGCGGAGCGGTGAGCCAGAAGACTCCACACATCAACTGGACTGAAGTTAGCTCCTGGTATCGGTCTGTACTGAATGCGGGAGTATCTTGGCAAGACAGTTGGAACGGTCTGCAAGCACGCTCGTCCTCCAGAGCAGCAGCAGCAGCAGCAGCAGGAGCAGCCGATGTTGATGCAAAAGCTGCGACCAGCTTAGCAGCAGAAATAGAGAACGATCTGCTTGAAAGCAGAAACCATCTTCAAAGAGTTCTTCTCAAAGCCACAGAAAATCTGCTGAAACGTCCTAGACGACCGCTCAGACATGCGGAAGACTGCAGATTCCTGTTCATTATCTTAGCAAATCCTCTCTTGCTCGCGTCGGATCCTTCGTCGGCTGCTCGAGGATCTAATGTGCATTCCATGGCCAGGCGCGCAGGACCTGGACAGCACTCAGGGATCATCAAGCGTGTATTGGGTCTCATGGCACATCTTCCGAATGAGGTACATCAGTGTTTCGTGGCATGGTTCTCTCGTCTCCCCGAAGGTCAATTCGAACGTATTGTAGATCTCGTTGGTGGGTTTGTAACATATCGGTTGAGCCGACCGGCACAGAAACGAGAAGTGGTCAGTCCAACAGACGGTCTTGTGCCTAGTTTCTCGGATTCTGGTACCCAGCATGCTTCTCAATTGCACGCTGCGCTTGGGGGCAGGCGGTCGGCCTCATCCAAACCTACCAACAGCAGCGGCAAACCTCAGCTGGCGAATTATGGTGATGACTGGCAAACACGTGCTGCTGCGCGTGTCATGGCTCTTCTGTTCGCTGCCAACGGGGGCCACTCTTTGAGGAAGAGAGAAGCATTGCCAGACGAACTCAGATCACCTAGCGTTGGCTTGACAGCAAAACATAAAGCGCACGCCCATGGTCAGCTGATACCGATCAGCAGCTTCTACAACACGATGTTGGATTATGCTGATCTGGCTGCCGACTTCGAGAATTGGGAATCCAATCGGGGAAGGTTCTCGTTCTGTCAGTATCCATTCTTCCTGAGTATCTACGCCAAGATCCATCTGATGGAGATGGAGGCACGACGGCAAATGGAAATCAAAGCAAGGGAGGCATTCTTTGATAGCATTCTCAGTAACAGAGCGGTGAGCCAATTTCTGGTCTTGAAGGTGCGGCGAGATTGCTTGGTTGAAGATTCGTAAGTGGACCACTGCTGCCTAGCAACCATGGGGGATTATCTCGCATGTCTGCGAGTACGGTACCAGCTAACGATGCCAACATCAGACTTCGTCGCATCAGCGAAGTGGTAGGGTCCGGGCAAGGCGATATTAAGAAGGGTTTGAGGATTGACTTCATTGGCGAGGAAGGGGTCGATGCCGGTGGCCTTCGGAAGGAATGGTTTTTGTTATTGATTCGCGAGGTCTTCGATGAGGCGCATGGTAAGTACACCGGCTTCATTCGAGTTTACATGCTGAATCCTTGTAAGGACTCTTCGTGTATGACGAAGATTCACGATTTTGCTACTTCAACCCTCATTGTTTTGAGTCATCGGAGCAGTATTTTCTGGTTGGCGTCGTGACGGGACTTGCAATCTACAACTCCACCATACTGGACATAGCCTTTCCTCCGTTTGTGTTCAAGAAGCTCCTGGCGTCGACACCTGTCACTACGAACGTCACTCCTTCAACGCCTCGACTCGCACATGGTAGCTCTTTGGAAGACCTTGCAGAATTACATCCAAGGTTGGCACGCGGTCTCAGTCAGTTGCTCGAGTATACTGGGGACGTGCAGCAGACCTTCTGCAGAGACTTTGTTGTCGAGGAAGATCGCTATGGCGAGAGTGTACAGGTACGAGATTGGTTGCGAGGCCATCAAATACAGTATGCTGATTCTGGGTCTAATGCAGGTCCCTCTGCTGCCAGGCGGCGAGAAGGTGCCGGTAACGAATTCGAACTGTCGAGAATATGTTGAATTGTACATCCACTATCTTCTGGACATTTCAGTCAGTCGACAGTATGAACCCTTTAAACGTGGTTTTTTCACTGTCTGCGGGGGTAATGCGCTGTCATTATTTCGACCGGAAGAGATCGAACTACTGATCCGCGGATCGGATGAGCCTCTCGACATCCATTCGCTCCGCGCCGTCGCCGTATACGATGGCTGGCCGCAGGGACGAACACCGGACCAAGAACCACAAGCCCAGTGGTTCTGGGAAGCCTTCGAGAGCGCGAATCCGGCAAACCAGCGGAAATTATTAGCCTTCATCACCGGCAGCGATCGCATACCGGCGATGGGGGCAACTAATCTTGTTATCAAAATCCAGCTCCTGGAAACGACCAAGAGAAGCGGCATCATCGACACGGAGCGCTTTCCGACAGCGCGCACATGTTTCAATACCCTGGTCTTGCATCCATATCGGAGCAAGGCGCAATTGGAGAAGAAGCTCTGGATGGCAGTCTCGGAGAGCGAAGGGTTTGGCCTCAAATAAGAGGCTGTTGCCCCAATCCCACCTGTCTTATGGATAATCACCGCTGAGGAGGAGTTTTGACTCGCGCCGAAGACATTGGACAGAGATGTACTAGTAACTAATACCCCAAAAATAAAAGTAGCTTCCTCCTCAGGGGCATTCTGGTTCGTTGTTTTTGGATCTGATTGTGTTTCACTGTAGAGTCGTAGACCCGACTGGCCTCGTCTTTTTGGTGTTGATGATAGTGGTAGCAGGTTCCTCGTAACTTACTACATTACCTGTATCGTAGACTAGATTCGGTTGTCCTCATTCTCCAGGGAAGGAAGGGGTCGTGATGAACATATCAACGTCAAGGCCTGAGGGAGTTGGTCGTACTGATCCTGTCACGATCTAGATGTCGGGGATGGGATCTTGTCTTATCTAAGTCGTAATCTTATCTTATCTAAGATAAGATCTTTCCTCCCCACATCTCACTCTCCTCCCCCCCTCATTTCCTCCTCCCTTTGTACGAATTCATCGAAAAAGAGAAGAGAGATATATCGATCCACAGGATCAGGTTCATCTAGTCAGCGGCTCGAGCAGCTACGGCATACTAGTACTTCACCCCCGGCGTCTTGTTCTTGCTAAGCCACCGGGCTTCCGTATTCACAGTAACGTCCGTCTGATCGAATGGGGGATAATAAAAGTCTCCATCTCAAATTGGGCAATTGAACGAGTTCCCCTCGCTGCTAACTACTACTCGAGTACTGTGCACCAGAGGACTAGAAGCTAGGAAAACTAGAAAAACTAGGAAAACTAGAAAACCTAGAAAACCTAGAAAAACATGCCCCCCTCCGCCCGGTCGTCCACCGCGTGTCTCGCTCTGCCCAAGCGTCTACTCTGCCCCTCCATCTCTTCACTACCGAGACACCGGAAACGCCCCCTCCCTCTCCCATTCACCGGGGTGAGATGCAGAGCAGGCCCAATCTCAATCTCCACCCCAACCTCCGCCTTCTCAACGAGCACGCGCCACCGGCTCCGCAGCAGCGAGCTCCAAGACGCGCACTGGGCCGACCTGAGCGCCCACCCA